AGAGCAACTTTTTAACAATTTTAGCCTGTCTATCAAGACTTAACCTAAATAATTTTTTTCAAGTCTATAATAATTTTCATAATATTTTAAGATTTATGTCTAAATAGAAATACTTCATATTCATACTATAGTTTAGAATTTAAATTATTATCAACCTCAGTACAAAAATGAAGCTTAAATATCATCAATTTAGTTGAACCTAACCTAAAAATGATGTGACAAAATCTTAAGGAAATATTCTAATTAAACGCTTGACAAAGCAATAGTACATAAAACACGGCGGCGAAAACTTATTAATTGCCTCCCACCCAATCTGCTGCTTCGGCTGTGAAATGTATGCTTCTCTATAATATGAGCTTAAACCGCCTGGTGTATAATGTACTATTTTTAAGCAATTTTTAATAAAAGTGATTATTTTTAGTCTGCTTATCCAGATTTTCCAGATATGGTAATATTTTAATAATACCTAAAATGTTTATTTTTAAATTATAGGCAAAAAAAATAAAACAATTTAATTTCAGCCTGCCTATCAAGATTTTACAGATTCGGTAATTTTTAAAACAGAAAATATAAAATATCGTTAATAAATAAATATTTCAGACCCAGTATTTGGTAATATTTGAATTTTTACATTCTAAAGTATTTTTAAATCTTTGCCCATAATTTTTATTTTCAAATTTTTACCAGCCGATAGTTTATTTTTTTAGGTAAAATATGGTCGAATTTTTTAGGAATTTGAAACAATTAGTAGAATTAAAAAATCACTTTTTTTAATAGCCGCAATATATGCTACTAAGGCCCGGTTTTTCAATATTGCATTTAATTAGCACTTTCGTAAGTTACAGTTATATTTAACTAGCGGCAAATTGTTAGTTAAATTGTAATCTGATTTTTCACTCATTTTGAAGTATTAGTTACAGAATCACAACTTTTGACATATTTTTGTCAGGTTGATATAGAATTTTACCGGAAATCGTCAAATATAACCTTATTTGCGGTGTTCAATGTATGTTTTTTCCTAATAAAAATTATTTTTTAAACATAATAATTTTAGAGAAAATAGAAGTAATAGATATTGGACAAGCCTGGATTAAGGGGGGGGGGGCTAAAGGGGCTGAAGCCCTGGGCCCCGCGATTCTGTAGGGCCCCGCTTTGAAAAAATTTCAGCCGAACAATTTCAGTGTAGTAGTAATAGTGTTTTTGTTACATCATTAATATAGTTTTTTAAAATATTTTTTGCATTTTATCTACAAAGGGCCCGTAAATTTTTATTAGCCCCGGTCCCAACGAAAGCTTAATCCGGCCTTGATATTGGACAGTAGTTTCCTGGATTTTCTTTACTACCTTTTTTGTATATAGGCTAGATATTTTACATTTTTCAGGAAAATTTACAGTCTTAAAGCAGTTATTTATATATCTGAGTATGGTTTCTTTTATGTTAGGATAAATCTCTTTAATATCTTTATTAGTAATATTATCATTACCTAAGTTACTAGAGTTCAAAGATGTAATAACTTTTCCTAATTCACTCATTGTACAAGGAAACATAAAAATAGTTTTATTATTTGTAACTTCTTGAAATGTTATATCAGGTATTATTATATATTTAGCAGAATTTATTATAGATATTAGCCATTTCTTTAATCTCAGTGTATTCTTTATTTTTGTTGTTTTAGTCTATCTATCTTATTATTTGTTTTTCTAGGTTTTATATTAATTATTTCATGTATAGTTTTCCATATTTTTTTCACATTTCTTCCTGTTGACAAAAGTTTTTGTTCAATAAATTCATATTTAAAATTAGCACAATATTAAATGTATTTTTAGGTTAACTACAACTTTACTAATACAAGAAATCGTAGTTACGGAAACCCAAACATAATCTGCACTTTGATAAATAACTACCAATTGTAAAACACAAAAATAAATTAACTACCAATTAAGTAGCAATTTAATTTTAACTAGTGATGATAAAACTGGGCCTAAGAGTTCTTAGACGCATAGTTAACAGTGCTACCACAAAACATAAGAGTGCTACTAAGGGCTTCTAAGAAGCATCAAAATTAGGGATTTTTTTATTTCAGACTGTTGGCAACCCTTTTAATTTTTATGTCAACGACGTGTTAAAGAATCGTTTTTCTGGTTTTGTTTATCAAAATTATATTATAAAATGTAAATAAAATCATTAGAATTCTCTCTACTTAAGTAGAGATTTTAAAGACCAGGTAAAATTCCTGAACAGGGCATGAAATGATTGCAAACTTTTCACTTTTGCTGAATAGTTATCGCAAAATTGTAGATGTAATACTAGATCTACGTAGATCTAGTGTACACTTGCGAAAATTGTTGATTTTACTTCACATTATAACTAAAATTTTCAAAAAATTGACTTACACCATATGGTTACTTTGTGAAAAGACTGGATTTGTAAAGACTAAATTTGTAGACTACATTTGTATAAAAAAATATACATAATTTTATTTGGAATTCCAGATTGGAATTGATCTTAAGATCAACGAGTTAACAGGTTGATCTTAAGATCACGTTTATAAATTAATTTATCATTAATTTATTTATGTATTTGTAAAAAGATACTTAATTTTAATTAAAATAAGATATCTTTCTATAAATGTAGACAATTGTCACAAAAAATAAAATAAATGACTTCAAGAAAAAGATCTTTTGGATTATTACTTATAATATAATATACCTAATGACCAAAATTTCGCAAAAAAACAATTTTATGAATGATTAACAGCTGCGTTTTGGACTTGTCTTAATTTGATTGTTTTTCTTACAACGTTTCGATTAGTAATTATCTCTAATGGTCTTCAGGTAATAACTGAAGACAATTAAAGGTAATTAGTAATCGAAACGTAATAAAAACAATCAAATTAGGGCAATGCAAGTCCAAAATTCAACTGTTAATAATGCCGAAAAAAATGTCTTCAACAACCACATGTGCTGGCTATATGAACCTCAATTGATGATGTAAATGATGCATATATGTATGTGACATACATGCGGATTAAAAATCACGTTGGGACTGCAATATGCGTAAATTATGAACCTCGCAATGTTTCTCAAACCATCACAAGTGCTGGCTATATGAACCTCAATTGATGACGCAATTGATGCATGTATGCGTGCATATTTGCAGATTACAATCACGTTGTGACTGCAATATGCGTCAACTATGAACCTTATAACGTTATCTGGGTTGAGAGAGATTTTATTATTGTGGTAGTCCTGTTTTTTGCGATGTTTAACAAGCAGTCGGTTCTCGGGGAACTGTTCCATTCTTTTAGAGCATCAAAATAAAAAAAACACAATTTGACTTTTTATTTTGACTGACATTTAAATATTTAATTTTGACATTTCGCTTCACGTCAATTGTGAAGACATAGTAACATGAATTAAACTACTACTTTTCAACTATTTATTTAATTTTATTAATGAATTATGGTCGAAATAGACAAAACAGTTTCTAAAAACTTTCATTTTTACGTTTTTATTACCAAATAGGTAGGTAATAAAGTATACAGGGCGTATAAAATTTTATCGTTAAATTTATGTTATGGTCAAAATATCTTAATATGCTTAACTTTATTCGATTAGTTTATGTGGGCCTGCTAATGGTGGGCGTAATAATAAATTCCCTAATTGTTCATTTCTTGGCATTTTGCCCACTAGCTGAAGTAAGCTTTAAATTAAAATTGAAGTAAAGTGACGTTGAAACTGTCTGACAGATGTCAAATGTCATAAAATATCAAATAAAAATGGCTTTAAATTGTTTCGGTGCTTTCTTTAATTGTTCATAAGTGGTTTTTGCACTGTTGTGTATATAACATAAGCTTGTTAAAATAGTTTCATTTACCTCTTATCTTTTACTAAAATACTCCCGGACATTTTTTTCTGCCTTAACCGGGTACCTAAAAAAATAAACAAAATTTGACCATATTTTATTTGACAAACTACCTTTATTTTTGAATAAACTATCAGTTGGTAAAATGGTAAAAGTATAAATGGGCCACCCTGTATGTCATTTTAAAATTAGAATCTTCCCGGAAATGCTTCTACCCCCGAATCCGGTAAGAAATTATAAAAAAATATAAAATTATCTCTGACCTAATACATTTTTAGTGTAATCCCAACAAAACCTATGACGTAAGATTATATTTAATACTGATTTTTAATAATTTATTAATTTATTTTAAACATTTTTAGTCTGCACCAAATAAACGCGCGGTAATGATTAATTAGTAGAAATTTTATTTGATTTTATTAAAATTTGTTTATTTTTTAGTCAAAATCAGCCACAGTAAGAATATATTTGATCTACAAATTTTTAACCTATTTTTAATATTTATTTTGATTTTTTAGAAGACAAGCAATAAAACTCCCGTTAGTTGATCTTAAAATTAAAAAAACAAATATATTATTAGTTTATATTTTTATTTTAGAAGGCAAAGAAAACAAAGAAAAAACTGGATTCTGGAGTAAGTATACAAAGGTACTGTGAGTTTTAAACTTTTAAAAATATTTTTTTAGAATGAAGGATCATGTGGACAGAAAACGCCAGGATATCCCCCAGTAATATTTATTTTTCAAGGCATACTTTTTTAAATATTAAAATTGTATATTTTTCAGGATAATCAAACATATAGTGTAACTATTTAAATTTTAAATATCATTTTTTGTATTAACGACACCGTGTATATTTTTGGACATAATATATGTATTATTATTCTTTTTAAAACATAAAGTTAAATATATTTTCAGGTTCGAAATGTCGTAAGTATTTAGTAAGTAAAAAAATTATACAAAATTATAATATTTTTTACCTTTTTAGGATGATTTTGTAAGTATAAACAAATTAAAAATTTACGAGTAGTACCTATGCAATTTAAAAAAAATTAATTTTAGATGACACCATTTGTAAGTTATTAACTATTAATATTTTATGTTATAATAATTAATATTTATTTAATATAATTAGGACAAGGGTTATTCAAGTCCCCAGCAGTCCAATTTTGTAGTAAGTATTTTAACTCAATATGGCAAAAATGTCATATCTTATATTTTTTTAAATTCTGATGATTTCCTTACTATTCCTCCCATATTATTTTCATAATTTAAGTTATATATTTTATTTATTTTCTTAGCAACCTGATATGCCTTTTGTAAGTCGATAAAATACAAATATTTTAAAAATAAATTGTAATAATTCTATTTAAGGGTAATATGTCCGAAATACCATACACATATGTGAGTTGAAAATACATTTAAAATATTTTAATGCCAATAGTAGAGATATAATGCAATCTATTACACAGTAAAAAGTTAATATTAAACTCTGACACTAATTAGGTGGTATTATTTAACTTCTACAGAAGTTAAATAACACTATATAAGTATAACTAAAGTTAATATACTATTTTAATACTTAAAAATGGTTGATTTAACACTTAGATAAATTTAAATGTTTACTAATCTCACAGTTGACCTAGACCTAAGCTTTAACAATAAAAATATAAAAACAAGAACCGCATATTTTTAACATTGTAAAAATATATTTTTAAAATTGGCCACGAAGCTACTTGTTTTTTTACATACATTTTGGTATATTTACGCCTATGGGATGTACTATAATCTTACTTTAATTAACTAAATCGCCAAAATCAGTTAATTGTTGTGACCAATATTTTATAAAAAAATATGAAATGTATTTCCCTACTTTTCCCCCACTTTTTCATATAAAACAAAAATTACGAGTTTATTTAGAGGTATTTAGAAGACTTTATCTTGTAGCTATTAACGACTATAAAAGTTAAAATTAAATTGATTAAAAATATCTCATTTAATTTAGTAAATATTTGTATATAAGAAATAGAGTTACATTATTACTAAATAGTTTGAAACATATTTAATCTAGAGTTAGAGTAAAAAAGGAGTCAGCTTGATAACAAATAGATACTCTAGAGTATCAATTTTTTTCTGTGTATTCCCGAGCTTGACGAGACATAAATCATCCGAGTGAATAATGCGCATTATCTCGAATGCAATCTATGCTTTTCTACTTCTATTGACTTATCTTCATTGGAATTAATTAATTAATTATTCCTGTTGTTAGGCAGTGTCAGTAATTGGCCGATCTCATCATATAAAGTGAATTATTGGACTAATCGGGTTTTAAGTTTTTTATGTATACGAGGGGCTAACAACAAAATCAGAAGAAAGTGAGGTTAGAACCGGCTGGCAGGTGTATTTATGAATATTGTTAGTAATGAAAATAACTTAATTGGAGTTAAAAAGCATAGTATTACACTCGAGGTAATCTCGTAATTTTTTAATGATAAAATAATAAATTTTCATTTTAGGGTCAACAACAATTTGTAAGTAGAAAATAGGTTTTTAACTATAGTTTTTTCATATAGATACATAATTTTTAAATTGAATTAACATTTTTTTTTACCATCTTTAGGCAACCAATGTGTTTGTAAGATGGTTATTAAATTTTCCTTGTTTATTTATGTGTTAAGTAAAGAGCTTTGAGTACACAGTATAAAATTTCTGGTAAAAGTGGTCTATATAGGTCCAGACTAGAAATGGTATATCTAACCACATACAATTTGGTAAATTTTACCCTTTTTAATTGGTTAATAATCTACACGTACTATTCGTTCAAAAAACTCGTAACAGTGTAAAAATAATAAAATATAATACACTCTTAGGGGAAAAGCAACACGCAATATTGATAAAATAACTCTATTCAAGAGTAGAAAATGCTCAATTTGGTGTAATTTACTACACAGGTAGGTGTTACGTGTAGGTGTTAAAAATGGTGGGTGTTTTAATATTAATCACAGCATGAAATAGGCAAATAGGCTTTGGCATAAAATTTAAAATTAAATGATTAACACTACTTAGGTGTAAGTATTCTTATACCCAAGAAGTGTTAATAATTTTTTTTAAATGATGAAAAGTAGTAATAGTTTGTGCAAAACAATATTTAGCTTATATAGATATATAAGTTAAATATTATTTTTCACTAGCACTAAAAACTTAAAATATTACTACATTTAATATTTTACTTAAAAATAACAGGTAAAAAAAAGTTTTATCAAAAACATAAGTTGCATCCACTGCAGTGCAGTCACATTGCACCACTTCACCAGACCACTGAATTTTAATTTAAAAACCATGGTCTTAAATTAAAATAGCATGCATAGGTACACTACCATCAACTACACTCGGAATACTGATCGCGCCCTTGCCGTTAGCGAATGGTGATGACTACGTGACTTTTTTTACCACAATTTGTGTAGCTGTAACCACATAATAGTGTCAAATGTACACCTCGTCGAGTTTATCTTTAAATTAACACTAGATTGACACGGTGCTGTGTTAAATGAATTTTAAATTAACACGAATGAATTTTACCCACAATTTAAAATTAACACTTAATATTTTTCACCAATTTTATTGTATAAATTATAAACTTTACACCGAAATATTTTATACTGTGTACGTTGTTTAAAGGCGAAGAGAGTAAAATAACATGACAGGATCCATGTTGAAAATATTAAACAAGTTTTGATGAGTTTTTTATTGTTTTTTTCACTCAAATACCAAACATAGGGGTCCACTCATCGAGCCTTTTTTCTAAAACAACTGTTTGGTCCACATCCTAGTTCTGTAACTTGAAAGAAAGATAGTTTCTTGTTTTATTATATCATTTTTTATTGATTAAAATAAACATGGTTGGCGTTCTTCCTTTACGCTACTTACCTATATAACGGTCTTGCTCAATTTTTTTCATAATTGTCGGTGAAATTAAGACAAACTAACCATAGCATGTTGTGACTCATATTACCAGAGATGACAGTATTCCAAGTCTAAGTCATATATTGGCAATCTCGCCTAGAACTTTACCTACTAATAACTTAAAAACTTATTTTATATTTTAAAGGATTCTATGAATTGCACGAATTATGAAAGCCAAAATAACAGCGTAAGAAGATATTTTTTATTTACTTGGCATTTTTTAATTCTGAGTCTTACAGCAATCTCCAAAACGAGCCAGTCAAAAGGTATATTTTAATAGTTTTATTTAATATTACTTATTTATTATTGTCTCTTTAGTCGACACGGCAGTTGTAACTTTTAAACTTAAAAGAATGCTTAAAAGTATGATTATTTAATTAATAATGTTTAAATTTAGGCCGCTCGTACGCAAAGTTCTAACAGATCATCATTAAAGGGCCAGTCTGCACAACAGGTAATAAAATACTATCGGTGCACCGCGGTGTGAACCTTATTATCGGCAATACACCAATAACTAATACACATGATAAATAATAGGCCTTTTGAAGAGGTAATAAAATTATATTGAAAGGGTGTTTCTTAATTTTGCAAATAGTTATTTTTTACTACTTAAATGGTTACCAATTTAAGATTATTCACCATCTTTGACTATTTTTGAGAGTTAAAAGTAACTAATTTTTTTAATCGTTTGCGGACAACAACAAAGTATTATTTGAATGAAATGCATATACCTAAGCTCCATGGTTAAATGACCTCTAAAAACAAATAAAGATGCAAAAAGTTTAGCTTAAAACAGCAACACAAATAATATATTCAACTTTAAAATATTATGAACAATACAGGGTGTTATGTAATTAATGTTATATATTAAAATACTGAAGACCTTTAGACATAAGGTGTAATGGAAAAATATTTTAAAAGATATTTTTCCAAAGATAAAAAAAATATATGCATTAGAAGTTTTTTATATTTTTTGTGATACGCCACTGGTTACACACTTGTGTTCTGTGAGTACATAGATACAAACCAACAAAGTAGCTGCGCGTTGCCAGTTGCAAAAAAAATGTTACTAAAAAATTTTCTTGCATAAAATAAATAAAAACTCAATAAACACAAAAGTTTTAAGCCCTTAAAGCTCTAATACCATTCTGTATTTATTTACTCATCCAGCTATTAACTTAAGCAATGATAAGAAAAATTAGTACCTATTTAAAAACTCCATAAAATTAAATTTTTCATCGGTTTTTTTCTTTCTGTTTACTCAGATGAAATTAGGACAAGTTCACAGGTTAATCGTTAAACATTCAATTTGTGTAAATAAATCCAAACGCCCAAAAGCACTTCCCTTAGTTAAGATATTTACAATTTGAGCACATAACCTACAATTTTTTGACAGAATGTGTTACCAACCATAACATAATAAATTAAATCAGATTAACTTAAAGTAAAGTAAATTATTACTAATTATGAATAAAGTTTAAACCTGGTGTGTCTAAATTTAAATATATTTTTTATAAGTATGTTTTTAAATTACAATGTTAAAAGGATTTTTAAAAAATCATTAGTTTACAAATTTTACAAGGTCTAATTAGTGATCTAGCGATTTCAGGTTTTTATTTTTTTTTCAAGTTTTTTCAGGTTTTTATTCTTTTATAAATATTTTGTTTTGTACGTGCTGTGCAAAATTTAAGGGACCGCGGAAGATTTAGCGCATTTGTTGGTGATAGGGGTCGGGCTCAGGGACGTGAATTTGTGGCCCTTCAAATTTTGGACGAAGTGAAAGCAAATCCGAGAATTAGTACAAGACGATTAACTGCCCAACTTGGACAAATGTCCAACTTTGTTACTTGGCGCACGATTCACGAAAATAGTTTGTACCCCTATCACCTACAAAAAGTTCAAGCTCTTCAGGATGGAGATTATGCACTGCGGTTGGAATTTTGCCATTGGTGTATACAGAAAAATCAAGAAGATGCTGATTGGAGCCGTAGTGTTTTGTATACCGATGAGGCCACATTTTCGAGACGGGATTTGGGCAGCAACTCAGGAACCTAATTGTAAATAGTCCAGACACTTTTACGCGGGTACGCGAAAGCATGCTTCGCAGAGTTTAAGCTTGCATTCTAAATAATGAAATCATTTTGAGCATCTCATATAAGGTAATTTTTAATTTTACATTTGGCAACACTGCATTAAAAAGTAATAGGTAAGGTTAATCCGCGGTTCCTAGTCGATCAGTGGCGTACTTTTTGGTAGGATAAAGGTTATTATAAATTATTTTTAGTCTTTGGAATTTAGAAAAAAAAAGTTTCAGCTGCTTCTTTATGGACCCTAAGGAACTACCCATTTCAATATATAACATTAATTACATAACACCCTGTATTTATTGACTAATAAAATTGATTTTTATAAGAGCGGCGAGCGGGAGTTCAATCCCCGGCTGGGTAAAAACTTTTTTTAAATTTAAATCTACTAATTTGACTATTTCATTCAGTAGAATTTCACTAATTATTACTATTACTTATCACTATGATAATTAGTCAAATATGACTAATAATTAGTTATTTTTGACTAATTCATTTTAAAAGAGTATACTCTTGAATCTTTTATGCCTCAAATATCGCCTATAAAAACTTTTAACTGAAGTTAAGAGTACATTTTAGCCCTCCTAAGAAATCTCATATTATAGCCTAGCATACATTTTACTGCCAAGGCGCCAGCCGAGGCAGTAGATTGTCTGAGAGGCAATTAAAAAGCTTTTGCCGCCGTGTTTTATATACTTTTTTTTAAAGCAAAGAATATTTATATTATGCATATGGGCCATTTGTCAGTTGTCCCTTATTTTTTATTAAAAAAATAATAAATTGAGACAGCTAATGTAGAACTAGATTCATTAATAAGAACTTAAAAATTAATAGAAATGTCTTAATTAATGTTGAAAGTTAGCATCACACTGTAAACCCCTGTCCCCATCATATTGCAATAGTGAAAACTTAAATATATTTCATAGGTTTTGTATTAAACTAAATTCTAAAACTAAAATGAAATAACGAATAAGTAGCTCCACAGTAGGTACTAATAAAGAATGTGTTAAAATGTCGAATAATTTTTTAAGCGTGACCAAACCTTGTCCTTATATTTAATATCTACTTCGGCACAAACCGCCTAAATAAAAATAGCTTTGTTATAAAATACACTGGAGCATTAAATATAAAAGAACTCTGTAATCCATGAAGTTTATAACTGTGGTACGAGATGGCGCCGCTGCAGGCAATGGTATCGCTATTGTTATTTTTATTATTTTTATAAACAAGCAGCGTGTGTTTTTAAAGGTTATCTTTCGTCGCGGCATTTACTCGGAAAGTATTTGCAGTATTTAATTTTATTTTTCATGTAAAGTAATCCAATTTCTTTCTTTTTAATGAATGCAATGTTTTATGTGCATTTATTGTGACACTAGGAAAATATATTTTTTATTGTGAAAAATGTATCCTTCGTCACATGCACTGCTATCGCTACGACATTAACTTAAAAATAAGATACTCTTTAAGCGAAACTTTACTGCTTAGAATTACCTTTAGGTTGCCTAAATAATAGTCAAAATCGACATGAAAATGTGAAATATTTAATTTTTAGTAGTAGATGGGGCTAAAATGTATAATGATCCATAATCTGTACGCCAGAAACAAACTTTATTAAGTTCACTTTTTTAAAATCACGTTACAATTTTTTTGCTTACATTTTTCCGCTAATACCAATGGTTAACAGGATTAGGTCCTGGATGTGTTTTTGATATATCAAAAAACTAAGTAAGCCAGTACTTAATCCGGTTAACCATTGGAAAGAGCGAAAAAAATATGTAACGTGATTTTAAAAAGTCGACTTAATACTGTTTGGTAACTGCTGTGTTATGTGTACTATAAAAGATACAGAAATGCCTCTTTTTAAGGTAATATAATAAACCATCGTTAGTTAATACACGAATATCCTTGTTTTTAATTTTAAGTGTTGGGCCACTTCGTGATAAGACCGACTTACGCAGTCCCATTTCAAGTCCAGGGCATCTTCATACCAAATATTTTTAAAATCCGTTCATTTTTAAAAAATGGCGAATGCGCCGGGATTAAAACTAAATTTTGGATTTATGTATATAGACATAAGACATGTCATTAAAGAAATGCATTACCAAAACACTTAAATCATACAAAAAAATAACGCGCATTATCTCCAGTGTAATTCTATGCTTTTTTTACTTTTGACTTATATTCTTCGGGACGAATAAAACATAAAGGACAAATAATTAAAAAGTGAGGTTAGAACCTCTTCACAGATTTTATTTAGGATAACAGGTGCGACTATAATGATTTTGAAATAAGCTAGTTTGCAACTACCCGATTGGTTTAAAGCACAGTTAATAATAAAATCAGCCAATCACTGATGCTTAGCAACGAGAATAATGAATTTATTATTCCCGTGTTAGGCGAATCATGGATACCATTATGTAAGGTAAAACCCAAATAATGTCAATATTATGAAATAGTAGATAATAGTGTATATTTGTAGGAATACGAGATAATGCAGGCTATTATATATTTTTTTTCAATTTTGATGAAAATAAAGCGACCTAAGTTTCAGAATCGGCCATAAATTATTAACCACCCTGTGTATAAAATCCCATGTATTTTGTTTATCTACGCCCTGTTATTTATAACCGTGAGTTTGCTCTATCACTATCACGCAGCTAATTTCATCATATACAAACGTCTTAGAACATAGTTTATCTTTTTAGTTTTTTTATGGTGCCGATAATAAAGGGTGGGCCATCTATAAGTTGAATTTTAAACTACGTGCTATTAATGAAGCTTTTAACTTAAGCGCCATGAATTGTTGACAGTGGTTTAGTTTTAACCTTCCGATTACAAAATATGCACCGAATAAATTTGGATCAACGTTTCGAAATACTCAAAACTTACTTTGAATGTGACTGTGATCGCAGAGACGGCAAGAAAATTGAGTTTGGAAGAAATGAGGCGCCGTCAAACCAAAGTATTACAAATTTGATCAAAAAATTGCTCAGAAATGGAATGCTGGTGGACATAAAACATGTTTCGCATGCTCGTCCTAGACGTACACCTGAAGCAATCGCTGCTGTGGCCGAAAATGTACGCATGAACGCGTCAACATCAACTCGGCCTTTCCCGTACCACTCTGAGGATGATTCTGCACAAAGACCTCGGTATGTTTGCGTACAAAGTCCAGCTTGTTCAGGAGTTAAAGCAAGTTGACCATCCACAACGTTTTCGCTTTGCTGAGAAACATTGTATCAAATAAAGCAAAATTCGTTGAAAAAAAATCAGTTGTTCTTGTTCTCATTGCTATTTTATAATTCAACATAAACATGGCCCACCCTTTAGTTACATTTCCCCTTATTATTATTATAATTTAAGTATAATTATTATTTCATTTTAGGCCACACAAAATTCGAATAGGTCCTCGTTAAAGGGTCAGTCTCCAGGGCAGGTAATTTTTTAATAATAGTAAAATAAATATACAGTATTTTCATAAATGAGGTTAACGAGAGAGAAAACATTTATATCAATTTTATTTTAAAAAATTATGGTTTTTCTTGTTAAAAAATGTGTTCAGTTTAATATATAGGAATTAAATATTTTATAAATATATAAAAATGCTTTAAAAAAAGTATTATTAATAAATAATATATTAAATATTATTTTCGCCAATAAAGTATGTAACACGTTAAGGAGGGAGGGTCAAGTCATTGTGACACTGTGTGCTATATAATAATGCGTAACATGGGGGTCAAAATCCCCTAAAAAGGTGTTGAGTACTTACTGTTTTTCATTATATCCATTTTTACTTTTGTCAAACTGAAACAATGTTTAAAATTATATATTTTAATATTACTAATATTATTTATTCGTTTTTTCTCTTTAGCCACCAAGGAGAGATGTAAGTTAAAATAAATCTAGTCAAGAAATAAAAAATCTTATTTTTTACGATATCTCGAAAAGTACAATTGATTTCTTATACATTGTCCATGCTTATCCATTTAAATATTTTTTGTTCATCGTTGGGAAATTAAAAAAAAACTTTTATTTTTGTAGCCTTTTTGGTAAATTGGTAAATAAAAAATAGTTATGCAATTTTAGGCAATGCAATACAATTAAACATTAACAAAATTTATGTAATACTCTACGATTAATTTTTTTGAGTTAAGTCACAATTTATCATAGTAATTGACAGTTAAATGTCCGGGGTACAAGTTGCTATTGACTAGTAAACAAAATAGTTTTATTTTAGGTGACACAAATAAAATCGAATAAATCCCCAAGTATCGATAAATCTTCAAAGCAGGTAATTTTTATAATTTAGAAATAATAATATTATTTTAAAAAAGTTGGGGAAGAAAAATTATAAGTACAATCTCTCAAACCTTTGGTTTGAGAGATTGGACTTATAATTTTTCTTCCCCAACTTTTTTGAATTGGTAGTTACTCTCATTATGGATTTCATGCATAAAGTTCATACATAAAATAATATTATTATTTTTTTTATTTGTTATTGATTTTTTGATTATAAAAAGTAAAAATAATTAAGATTTAAGTAAAATTTCTGGCAAATGGTTAACCTCGTTTTTTACCAATTTTAAATGTTATTATAGTCGACTTCTCCCAATTTAAAAGCCGATTAGTTTAAATCACAGTAAATATTAAAATCGGCCAATCACTGATGCATAACAACGTGAATAATGAGTTTATTATTCCCGCTGTTGGACAGGGAATTTATAATTTTTATTATTATTCACGGAAAAAATCCAATATTATGCAATAGGAGTAGATAAAATCAGTTTCTTAACTAAAAATTTAAACCTTGTTTCTTTGCTATTACTTACTATTATAATAACTATAGTTATAACTATAGTTATAACTAATAAAAGCACGGTATTCCACAGCACACTAGGTGCGATGAAGAATACTTTGCTCTGATTGGTTATTCACTTTCGATCGAAAGTAACTTTTGTAAATTTCAAGAAACACTTGGGGGGTAATGTTTTTAGATAATAATACTAAATAAAACGTTTTTTATTATGACTCTTTTACTTTTTGGACCAATTAGTTTTCACAAAATAAGTGGACTTTTTACTTTACAGCAATAAAATTACTTCCCCAGTAAAAAAACACTATAAATAGTATATTACACTACAAAGGAGGTAAGTAGATTTTACTTACCTCCTGCGTGGTGTATAACGTTCTATCTGCTCCCACAGCTAGGTTTCATGTAAAAATAGTATATTAAAGTACAAGTTGCAGAAGGCCACATATTCTCGCACGAATTCGAAATTTGGCCTCGAGCGACGAAGGAGCGAGTGGACGAACGAATGAGTGCGAGAATAGCCTTCTGCAACGTGTGATTTATACTATTTTCTCGATTTTAACTTTTATTTAGGTTTTTTTAATTGTTTTGTGGTCGTTGTTAGTTAGGGGATTTTTCTCGCAAAATGTCAGTTGGCAACACAAAATGACAATATTTGTTATCCTGCACAAGTACAACCTGAACTGCACTTTTACACATTAAACTTAAAATTTTGCATTAAAATGCATTGTTGGAGCAAACTTTATATTACAAAACAATAATAAAGGCTTCATTTTCAATAAAAGTAATGAATTTGAGGTTATTAATCAGTTTGACATTTTGGGGGTACCAATACTTAAAAACTAAATGTTACCAAAAATCGTTTAAGAATGAGCTTCATTCTTCAACGATTTTGCGTGCGAGAATATGACATTCTTACATAAAAATCGAGAAAATACTTTTTTTTATCAATTTATTTTGACACAAAGGAATTTTTTGACATTAAAGGATGTCACGTAGTCTGCTATGATTTTGTATTTTTAAAACGTTGTTTACCCATTGGAGGTAAGTCGTCGTCAATAGCAACCGCGGTAAATTCAACTTACTTGCTATATATATATATATATATATATATATATATATATATATATATATACAGCCCGTTCAGAGTAAAACCGAATATAGGGAAATGTATCGGGCGTGGCCTCGCCTCCCTCCAACGCGCGTCACAGTAGCTTGTGTGATAAACGAAATGACGAAAGGTCGAGCAGGTAAGACGACCTAAATGATAATAATGCAAAAAATCTCATTAACATTCGCTTAGCTACTGTGTCGCGCGTTGGAGGGAGGCGAGGCCACGCCCGATACGTTTCCCTATATTCGGTTTTACTCTGAACGGGCTGTATATATATAACAATGTTACAATAGCCTAGTTAGCACAGTGGAAGCAGATAAAAACTATTAGTGTTTTTGGTAATTTCTTGGTGTTAACATTGAAATATTTTTTTGGGTTATATTGTATATAAAATATATTATTGAAATAGTCTTGCCGAATAACACTCGAGGCAATTTCGCTGGTGGCTTTATTCAAAAACACTCGCATGGCGGCTCATGGTCTCAAAAAATTATTGTCTGTTGCGAAATTTACAAAGAAAAAGTTATATTTTACTATATTATAACAAAATATTTTTTGTAGGGTGGTAATATTGTTGAATGTTCGGCATGTGTAAGTTAAATCATATAAAAACATTTGTATGCAAAAATAATAAATTATTTAACAGGCGAAGAAAGCGCTTTCTTAATAAACAATATTATTATAGCCGAGCTCAGTGTTCGTTTCCGAGGCGCTAGCTGAGGCTGCAGTTCTGAGCGAGGCATTAATGCTTTCTCCGCCATATTGTATATACTATTTTTTTCAAGCGATTAATAATTCTATACCTACATTGGAATTCTTGAGTTTGGGACATTTTGTCATAGGAAGATGATGTTGACGTTGACGTTTATGTGCATAAATTTATTATAGTGACCTGTAATTACAGTTACCTGCACTGATTCTCCCTACCACTCTTCCTATGAAATTTCAATACATTTTCATTATTGTTCCTACGGTATTGTATAATAATTTCACTTTTGAGCTGCCTACAAATACTTATGAGAGTTATAATATAAATATTGTTATACGCTTGAAAAAAATATAAAATTTTAATTTTAACTAAAACCATTTAAAATTATATGTGTTATACACGAGGTTATACATATTTAATTTGTTATTACTCTTACAGAAATCCCAGAGATCTTCAGTTATTGATCAATCTCTACGTCAGGTAATGTGTTAAGATAATTAGACAAAATAAGACTATACAGTAGGGTGGGTCAAAAAAACCGACTATTTTTTTTTACTTTGTAGGTACTCTGAAAAATCGGTTACCTACTAGACACCTCTAGAGAATTCTCACCAAACATGAGCTCTTAATTTTGATAACAAGGTCCTCCGCTTTACAATTTTCCATTTTTTCAGTATTAGAAACAAAAATTTATATCTCTTCGACAACTGTTCGTTAAAAAATAACTCTCTACAAAAATGGTCTCTTATGATTTGTCGATTAAATTAAGCGTTTAAAAGATATTCATCGTCAAACTTCAATGCATACTAATTTTAACAGTTTTTGATGAATAATTCGAAAAATTTTAATTTAATTTTTAGTTTTACGAAAATTTATACAAATTTGAGTTCCTACACTCACAGGCAAAATAATCGGTCCACACAAATTTTCGATGAATTTCAATCGCAAATAACTTTTTTATTTGATGTCGGATTTTAACAAATATTAAAGAATATTGTGGATAAATTTATGAAGAATCGCTCACATTTTAAAAATTACTAAAAAACAGACGTACGTTTATAATATACAGGTTTAAAAAAAAATATATTTTTACCATAAGTTTAAGACACTCTGTAGAGTGGCTAAACCGTATATTGTCCTAAATTAAGTTTTAATTATCAAGTCACATCTATTTTTAACAGTTTTGTTTTTAATTCACCTTGATTAATTTATTTTTGTGGAAAATATGGATTTAAAAAAAAACATTGCAATTTCCAATATTTTTTCTGTACGAAGAACTAAGGTTGCTATGGTCCATCCACAGCATATGGAGGATGACAGTGACAGTTTTGTTGAATCATCCTATATCCTGTCATATACGGCTTTCAAAAGCTATCAAATTATTTTTTGTAAATTATTGTGTTAATTTTGGGGTGTCTTCTTACTTTTAAAAATGTATGTGTCTCCGACTGATGTACACTTTTTTACTTCTTGTGAAGTTTAAAACACTTGCCACGTAATACTGTGCCCGTCCATCCTAAATTAAATCAATGGCTCTGGCAACATCAGTCGGAGACATATCCATTTTTAAAAGTAAGAAGACACCTCAAAAGTTAAACATTAATTTGCAAAAAACAATTTGATAGCTTTTGAAAGCCGTATATGACATGTCCAAGTATGGGATGATTCAACAAAATTGTCACTGTCATCCTCCATAGCCTATGGGTGGACCATAGCAACCTTAGTTCTTTGTACAGAAAAAATATTGAAAAATCCATATTTTCCACAAAAATAAATGTATCGAGGTGAACCAAAAACAAAACTGTTAAGAATAGATGTGACTTGATAATTAAAACTTAATTTAGAACCATATACGGTTTAGACACTCTACAGAGTGTCTTAAACTTATGGTAAAAAACTTATTTTTGTTTAAACCAGTATATTTTAAACGTATATCTATTTTTTAGTAATTTTTTAAAATGTGTGCGATTCTCCATTAATTTATCTAGAATATTCTTTAATATTCGTTAAAATCCGACATCAACTAAAAAATTTTATTTGCGATTGAAATTCATCGAAAATTTGTGTGGATCGATTATTTTTCCTGTGAGTGTATGAAAAGAGAAACTATTTTTCTCGTTTTTTTTTAGTCCTACATATGTTTGGTTATATTGAAAAGAAAAATAGTGCATTATTTCTAACTCAGAGTCAATGATTTATTAATTTTTGAAAAAAATAACGTTTTTGTCATAAATTTAATATGAAAAGAATTGATCTTGAAGAAAAAAAAATTTCAATTTGTTATTAAAAAGTTTCTTTATTTAATTTTATCAACTGAAATAAAAATTTTAACATTTATAATATAATCGTACACTTTTACTGTAAAAAGTTTTCTTTATTACAATTTGGGTATTGTTTGCGATGTTCTTTTATAACTTGCAATAAATATTGAAATTGCTCTTCATTTTTTGTTAAGCATTGGTTATAATCATCGACTAATGCAACAGCTCGCTCTGCCGAATCATTAACAACTTTCAATTGCTTATGATTTTAAGTTATTATAAAGATAAATTTCATGAAAATATTATTAAAATAAAAAAGTCTCAAATAAAATTTCGAAAGGTAAACTTCTATAAGAGTTACTTTTACAATAGAAACTCGAATTTATATAAATTTTCGTAAAACTCAAAAATTAAATTGAAATTTTTCGAATTATTCATCAAAAACTGTTAAAATTAGTATGCATTGAAGTTTGACGATGAATATCTTTTAAACGCTTAATTGAATCGATAAAGCATAGGAGACCATTTTTTTAGAGCAGTTAATTTCCTACAAAACTATGAGTTGCGCGATTCATAAAAAAATTTTGTAAGCGAGTTATAAAACTCATAAGCAAAACAGAAATTTATCTTAAAATAATTAAACTTTAACATTCAATATCTTTTTAACGGTGAGGTTTACGAAAAAATTGTAGGAGACCTTTTTTGTAGAGCGTTCGATTTCCTACAAGAATATGAGGAGAGTTATTTTTTAACGAACAGTTGTCGAAGAGATGAATTTTTGTTTCTAATACTGAGGAAAAAATGGAAAATTGTAAAGCGGAGGACCTTGTTATCAAAATTAAGAGCTCATGTTTGGTGAGAATTCTCTAGAGTTGTCTAGTAACCGATTTTTCAGAGTACAAAGTAAAAAAAAATAGTCGGTTTTTTTGACCCACCCTACTATACAGTGTATCTACGTAACTTTGGGGCATATGGAAAACTGTTGTATTACTCATTTTAGAAAAATGGTAATTCTTCATAAAATGTTGTGCATGGTCTAAAACCCAAAATGCAACCAACAGATATTAGACATCAGTCGTATACGAGGTTTGTCAAAAAATATGATTTTTGGAAAGTACCTTTATTTTTGAAAATATCGAAAATTATTATAAAGAAAAAATTTTCAGGATTAAAAATAACGTTTAAAGTTTATTTACATAAAAAAGCATTTTTTTGCATAACATTTAATTACAAATAAAACAATTCTAAATAGACCTTTATGTAAAAATCTACTGGTTTTTAGCGAACACTGATAATCTTTCACAATGTTAAATATTTGAACGGTATTTTTAAGTTTAACCATATTTTCTTAACAATAATTTTCGAAATTGTCAAAAGAGAGAAACCTCGTATACGACTGATGAAGACCATGCACATCTTTTATGAAGAAGGAATTATTTCCTAAAATAAATAATAATGAATGGTAACTGTTTTTTCTCCACGTATAAAAAATATTTTACAACATATTTTTTTGTTTCAGGGTGGTGATGCTGTTGATTGTTTGACATGCCGTGTAAGTTTAATTGTATTAAAAACATTTTTATATATAATTCTTTTAATTTTAATTTTAATTAAAACCATCTAAAAATATATTTATGTGTACTATTACATTTTTTAGAGTGAAATTCAAGATACAACAGGAGTAAGTTTATAATATTTACTCCACACAATTTTTATTTTTAAATTATAAAAAACAATATATTAATAAACTATTTTTTTAGGGAAATCAACCAGTAAGTACACATAACTATTAAAAAAATTACTTTATCTATAATAAAAAATATTACAAAATATTTTTTTAGGCTGGAGACGCCTGCTCATGCTCTGAAGTAAGTATTATAAATATTTTACTCTTTACAATTTCTCTACGCAAAACTATTTTAGGACGAAGATATTAATCCCAGTCAGTATGGGGTAAGCATTAATTTGTATACAATTTTTTATAGTTTATTTCTTTGTCTATTTTGTAGGCTGTGGAAGAAGCTGTAAGTATAAAACATTTACATTCATATACAGTGCGGGGAGAAAAATATGAAAAAGTTTATATCACGCTTCGTTTTTGAGTTGCAGGTACTTTTATCATGTTTACTTTCAAATAGCATAACTTCTATAGCATTAGGTTTCGGTATTTTTTAAATTTAGCTTAGTTAAGATAAATATAAATTCGTTAATTCAGCAATAAGAAATGACCATCCTTATTTTAAAAGGACTACAAAGAGGCAGAAATATATGTTTTTTCTCCGAAAAAAATATTCAGGGGTAAAACCACGAGTGCTTAAAAATTACCGATAATTTTCATGAAAGCGCAGTTTTTTAAACAATATTGTAATATAATTATAATTGTAATAATTATAATTATAATTTGTACAACAATCTTAAATGAAAATTATCTGCCCCCCCCTTTAAGCACAAGCGGTATTTAGGGAGAATATTTTCCAAATAAAAAGTCGAATTTCCTCTTATTACCTGTTACAACGCATGAGTGAAAAATTCTTTATTATTTTTGTGCTTGTTTCAAAAATCCCAAAACACTTTTTATATAGGTATTTAATTGTGTCAAAGTCAAGTGGTGGGACTGATGTGTAGAGCATAGTACCTGTTACATTGTTATAACAATGCATGAGTGAAATATTCTTTATAATGTGTGTGCTTGTTTTCAAAATCCCAAAACACTAAAACTTTTTGAAAATGATATTTTTCTTCAAAACTTGGACTTTTGAGAAAAGGATTTCTCAAAAAAAATGTAGGTATTTTGTTCATGAAAAAATATTTTTCCGAGCTTTTTTTATATAGAGGTTTTTAAAAACCTTTTAGGGTTTTAAAAAGAAATTTAATTTTTATGCCAAACATATTTTTAATTAGGGAATTTAAAATATCTGTTTCTTATATTTGTATTTTTTAGTTAAACGGATATTTTTAATTCGCTAAATTAAAAATATCATTCAAGAAATTTTACATGCATTAATAATAATATTATCATAGCAGATATTTTTAATTCATTTGAATTTTAATTTTTTTAAATAATTGGATATTTTTAATTAAATGTGATGTTTTTAATTAAGATTAAAAGTTTGGACACCGCTGGTATTCCAAACTAATTCACTAAATTAAAAATTTATGTTTGGCATAAAAATTCAATCTAATTTTTAACTAAGCGAATTAAAAATACTTATGCATAATGCATGTGTTTACAAAAGAAACAATTAAAAAAAGTAAAAATATATGTATAAATAAAAAATATCAAATATCATAGCAGAAATTTAAAAATTAGATTTAATTTTTATGCCAAACTGATGTTATTAATTTAATGAATTTAAAATATTTGCTTCTTATATTTGTATTTTTTTGCTAAACATATTTTTAATTCACTAAATTAAAAATATCACAGAAGAAATTTTTAAATGTATTAAAAATATCATAAGAGATATTTTTAATTCGATTTAATTTTTATTTCATTAAATAAGCAGATATTTGATAAGCAGATTGAAAGTTTGGACACCCCTCGTACTCCAAACTAATTCTGTCGTTAGATGGCATCACGTTAGTTTGTTGTTGCCAACCGACCCACTCCAACAACTTGTTGGAGTGGGTCGGTTTTTGTGGAGTTTGGAATAACAGGGGTATCTAAACTCAATCAGTCGGAATAAAAATTATCACATTCAATTAGAAATATCTGCTTATTTAATAAAATTAAAATTAAATCGAACTAAAAATATCCCCTATGATATTTTTATTAAATTTAAAAATTTCTCCCCTGATATTTTCAATTTAGCGAACTAAAAATATACACATGTGTTTAGCAAAAAAATAAAAATATAAGAAACATATATTTTAAATTCACCAAATTAGAAATATCAGTTTGGCATAAAAATTTATTTTAAAATATCTGCTATGATATTATTAATTCGCATAATAAAAATTCTTATATGATATTTTTTATCTAATTAAAACTCACTCTAGGGTTAACATAAAAATAATTCCTGAATTAAAAATAAAACGGCGCCCCATAATAATGAGTGAAGTCGATAGCTCTAATATAAATGTTGAACATTTATATTAGAGCTATCGACTTCACTCATTATTATGGGGCGCCGTTTTATTTTTAATTCAGGAATTATTTTTATGTTAACCCTAGAGTGAGTTTTAATTAGATAAAAAATATCATATAAGAATTTTTATTATGCGAATTAATAATATCATAGCAGATATTTTAAAATAAATTTTTATGCCAAACTGATATTTCTAATTTAATGTTCATAGGTAATGATAAAAGTTAATTAATAGCAAATATGTTATCTAATAATAACAAACATTGTTTATAAACACAAAAAATAATAACTTTATTTAGGTAGGTAGTTGTGTTTATATTTATAAATTGTCGAATAAATTTGTATAAAACGTAAGTAAACTCAATTACTCACCTGAAATTCAATTGATTTTCAATACACGTAAACGAAAAACTATTACACAAACACAATATTTCAACTTTGCCGAACACGCGACACAATTAATAACAATTACTTATTAAATAAAACCGTGGATATTTATTATAATTTAAGCGCGAAATTCGCTATGCATTACATTGAGATCTGCTGCGAGCGACTACGTGCGAAAATGCACACAAGCATTGTGCAGTAAAATTTTACGATTATACTTTTTGTGTTTGATTATCAATTAACCAAATAATGGGAATCTTAGATTTGGGTCATAGGTAGGAAATTTGGATTTTATTCAAACTAACGGAATTGTAATTACTCACTAATTAGAATTCGACAGATTTGCATTCATACATTAACCATTGATCTAAAAATATACCTACTGCAGTACATGTGCTGATGCACAAAGGATAGTTAATTTGTTGGGGCGACAAACTTTTGGGAATATAATTATTTTTTTTTAACACAGCCTTGCAATAGAACAACTTGCAGCAAACTTGACGACGAGAAGCAGATCCTTGACGACATAGAAAATAAAGATATTGCAGTAATTTTTTTTTCCTTTTCCTCACAACGTTTGTTAACTGAGTTAATATTGTTTTAGTGTATTAATCCAGATCAAGTAATGAAATTGGTGGAAAAAGAAAGGACAGAGGTGGAGACTTTTTCAACCATGGCTTCTGCTTATGTACCGTTCAATCCGAGCAATTTTTCGCCCAAACAAAAGTTGCAGCAGATTAGGATGAATTCTGAGACTATGGCTATGCTTTATAAAGTAACTAAATTTTCCTTAAAAGTCTTTATATATTTTTTATGTTAAAAATTAATTTTTCTTATTTTATAATAAATATAGTTGCTATTTGATAACGTGAGTTGGAACCAGGCCCGTGCGCAATGGGAGGGGGCTTGGGGGTCCACCCCATTTATTTTCTGTTCAGGGCACCCAAAACATAAAAAAAATGCGAAAAAAGGGGAGTTCAGCCGAAGAATTTTTTGCTAATGAAATTTAAAAAATTTGCTTAGATTTGTTATCATTCAAACTGAATTATCATTACCAATACAAAAGGTATTAACAATTCTTAGAATAAAATATTGTGAAAATATATCCAATGGATATTATCCAAGGCTGTTTGACTCATTTATTCAAAAGATATGGTCGAAAAGGTCCAGAAGTAAATCTAATGAGAACCAATTTTCGTCATCAAAATGTTTGTTGTTAAATTTTCTACAACATTGGGGGGGGGAATTGGGGTTATCTCGTACAGTTGTATTGATTTTCAACGTAGTTCGTTATATTCTTCAAGAAAAAGTAAAAATTCTGTATTGGTCTTGATAATTCAGTTTGAATAGTAACAAAACCAAACGATTTTTTTAATTTCATCAATAAACAAAATAGTTGTGAACCCTGAAGCCGAAAAAATGCAAAATCCTTGTCAGACAGTGTTATTTATGACTGCTGTTCTTATTTCTAGACCATATTTAAATGGCTGTAGTTATGGAAACATTTTAAGTGACCTTTTTTGTAGGTATATAAGGGTAATTCCGTCTTAAATCGCAATTTTGAGAGGAAATATTTTTAAATTTATTTTTTCTAAAGTCATAATTTATAGTAACTTAATATTAGACCCTATTTAAATAATTACTAATGCGAGCCGTACACTTTTCATATTTTTTTTGTGTTTTTTTGAGGAAAAAGGCATAGTAACTTATGTGATTGTCACGTATGTTACTAAAAACGTAAAAATAGATTATTTAAAAAAAAATCTTAGTTTTACACTATATAGGTATATCTATTATAATAGATTATTTTACAGCTTACATGCTATTTTGTGTTATTTTAAAATAAAAAATATTAAAATTACATGTATAAATCAAAAGAACTGTATACCAGTGGCGGCTGGTGGATTTTGGGTATACCAATATTTCAGTTATTAGACATGGGACCCACACCAAATTTATAATATTTTACATTAAATAGACAAGTTCGGCGCAAACAGAATTTAAATTGAAGTTTGCGAAAAAATGTTAGTTTTTCCTGTCGCCTCATCCGCCTCCAGGCCCCCCTATTTAAGATAATTTAAATTAAAGTGGTGCAATTTATTATCTACTATAATTTATCGACAAATTTAAAATTTTATTAAAAAAATCCAAATATTACAGGTTTTATACCATTTTAAATATTTTTTATTTTAATAAAATAAATAATAAAAATTTAAAATCGAATATAATCTGTAATATTTGGATTTTTTAAATAAAATTTTAAATTTGTCGATAAATTATAGTAGATTTATTCTTAACAATTAAAGGAGTTTTTAAGTCAAATTAAAAACTATATAATTAAAATCATTGTTTCACAAAATTACGGTGACCACAAAATTACGATTTAAGACGGAATTACCCATAAAAAGTGTTTCCGCTCTATAAAGCGAGAACATTTATACAAGAATTTGCATTGACAATTGCGTATATCTATTTGTTACTGATTGTGGGTTACAAAATTAAGATAAAAAGATACTTTTTTATTTAGGTATTACGTATTACAAAATTATTATTACAAAATTCGACCGTTAATATAATTTAAATGGTAGTTTTAACTTAAAAAAAATAGTTGTTTATGGTTTATAGAGACATTGTTTTAGTTTCATATTTTAAAATTGTTTATTATAAAGGATGTCCCAACATGCAGGAACTTGGGGATCTAAAAGTCACATTATTTTCAAATAATGTGACTTATTAACCTAATATTTCACATACGTCATCTAGAAACTTGTCAGTGTCATCATGCAACGTTTCACGACTGAAGAATGTATCCAAATTGTTCTAATTTATTGTGAAAATGCTCGTTCATTTACGAACACAATTGGTCGACTACGCGTTGTTTTTCATCAGAATCATGTTCCCATCGATACAGCAATTAGAAATTTAATTGCCAAATTTGAAATAACTGTTTCTGTTCTCGATGTAAAGACACCACTGCGACATCGTAATGGTCGGTCAGTTGATAATATCGCTAGGGTGAATGAAAATGTTTAAAAACTTAAATTCGTCGTCGATCACAGCAATTTGTCATCTCAAGATCATCTCTGCAACGAATTTTAACAAAATACCTACGGCTACATGCATACAAGATCCAGTTAACACAAGAATTAGAGCCCAGGGACCATCAACACCGCCTTATCTTTGCCAATTGGATTTTGGAAATTGATGACGAATTTGCCCATTTTCACCTAGTGGGTTACGTAAATAAACAAAACTGCAAACTGCATTTGGGGGCGCGAAAATCCTCTAGAGATTATTGAAAAATCTATCCACCCACTACGTGTCACCATATGGTGCGGTTTCTCGGCCAACGGTGTTCTTGGACCTCACTTTTTTGTAAATGAGCGTGGAGAAGCAAAAACTGTCAATGTGGGGCGGTATCGACAGAATCTGATGTTGAATAACTTTCTATGGCCTCGTTTGGAAAACACTTTTAACAAGATGGAGCCACACTGCCAGGGAAATTTGCTGCAGAATAAATGTCCTGGTATACCAGGAAATTTGTTCTACTATAGTGTGATTTTTTGAAATGGTGACGTGGGTTGGCCTGCAAGATCTTGCGACTCAATACCGCTGGACTTTTTTCTTTGGGGTTTCCTTAAGGATCAAGTCTACACAAATAATTCACAGACAATTGATGAATTAAAGAATAACATTCGTGCGGCTATTGCCAAAATTTACTTGCATATGTGTGCACGGTTCACCGAACACAGTTTTTAACGAAAAAAATTGAACAACTTTGAAACATTTAAAAAAAAAATAATTACCAACTAAGTATCCAAAAAAAATTAAAATGAAAATCTTCCATGTAGATCTTGGGAAATAGCGATCAATTCTTTGTAATTATGTGTAGTATCGTATATTGATAATATTTTAACTGTCTCAAAGTTAATTTTTGTAGAATATTTTTAATTTGAAAGACTCATACGATAGTAGGAAACTTAAACTTTATTCTTCTGAATGCATTATTCAAAATTATAAACGTATAAATTGATAACCTTTAACAAAAATGTAAAAAACAACAAAATAAATCTAAGCCTACTGTAACAGATGTTGACTATTGTATGCACAAAGACATCGAAGCAATTTCATATTATATTTTTCTAAGTTATTTCTGGATAAATTAAAATTCCTGGAAAATATATTGAATGAATGATGAACTTGCTCCGATGCTTGCTCTGAGAAGAAACCAAGGGCTTTTTGCGTTTCTTCAATAAATTGAGGAACATGATATTGAGGTGTACATGTAATTCAAGCTTTTGATGATTGTAGTTTAAATTCTTTTATGTAGTCTTTATATTCATCTGCTAAGTTTTGGCGAAAGCAGCCAGAAACTACTTGATTGAACGCCTCAAATACGGGTATATATTCATTGTCTAAAATAGGAATTATAAATCAGTAGGTAGAAAACATACCAACATAGCAAAGCTTATTATAATAGAAATATATAATATGAACTTGCTTCGATGCTTTGTGCATACAATAGTCAACATCTGTAGGCTTAGATTTATTTTGTTGTTTTTTACATTTTTGTTAAAGTTTATCAATTTTTACGTTTATAATTTTGAATAATGCATTCAGAAGAATAAAGTTTGAGTTTCCTACTATCGTATGAGTCTTTCAAATTAAAAATATTCTACAAATATTAACTTTAAGACAGTTAAAACATTATCAATATACGATACTACACATAAATTAGGAAGAATTGATCGCTATTTCCCAAGATCTACATGGAAGATTTTCTTTTTACTTTTTTTTGAATGCTTAGTTGGTAAGTATTTTTTTTTAATGTATCAAAGTTGTTCTATTTTTTTCGTTAAAAACGGTGTTCGGTGAACCGTGTGTGATAAAGTAATCGAAAATTTAAAAAAAAGAATAACTTAAATTTTTTTTTTTTAATTAAAAAATAGCTTTGTACGTTTAGCGACTTTGTTTTACTTCTCTTATACTTTAGAATATTGTACTATAATTACTATTTATTTCTAAAATTTTAACAAATTTTAAAGGGCAGCTTATTTTTAAATTTAAAAAAAATGTGGGTTTAGCCGATTCATCGGGCTTTTTAGTATTTCATCAAGTACCCCATGAAATTAGTTGACAAAATACTGGATAAATCGGCTAAACCTACGTAGAGAAGACAAAGAACCCCATCCAATGCTCAAAATTCCATACGTCAAAGGAATTTCGGAAAAAATAAGAAGAATGGGACGACAATACAACATCAATAGACAAGTTAAGGAGCCACCTAACGAAGAATAAACCAACAAATCAGAAAGAACTGCATCTACCGAATCAACAACGAGACACTAAGACCACTTTACATAAGAATCAAAAAACATCGTAATAACATGCAAAAAGAAGAGACCAATAAATCAGGAGTAGCTGACCACGCCTGGTCACAAGGTCACCATATCAGGTGGTCAGAGGCAAACATTTTACGCTTTGGATGCTCCAGTGCAGCCGGCTTGAATATAAATGGACCTGTAGCTGCTTAACTTATTCAGTATTTACCTGAAAACGATCTGAAGTCAAAAAGTCGTGATTATTCACTTAATAAATGGTTTTTATAGGCTTAAGTTAAAAAGGACGTACTGACTCAGTCCCCAGAAATTGTTAAAATTTTATAAACAACATATTTTTATTAAAAGTACCTACTATATTTTTAAATAATGAAATAAATTTCTTTACCCCTTAACCATGCAGCTATTAATATTAAGATGTGGCAACAGCGCATGTATTCATCAAGACGGCCATAGAATATCATGCATGTGTCAGAGATGCATGTCATACACCTAGGGTTATAGATACATGACATACATGTTTGAGCTTTTTTATTTTAATTGGTATTTCTCCAATACTTGATATTCCATTTTACTTGAACATTTTTGGTAGGAGTTATTTGATTGCGCCTTATATTTTATTCATTTTATCTAATTTTGCATCATTCCCTCTTTTAGACTATACTAAACCCAAGCCCTTCAGCGGACGAAGCCCAGTATGAACCAACCCCAGAAATGATGGTGTCCATAATGCAGGCAATAGAACGTAAAGTCGAGCCTACAGTAGACCCGACCAGACAATTCAACGCTCTCTTCACCTCGAACAAATTCGACGAACTAGTCAAAATGAGGTTAGTTAGTGAGTTTTTTACGATTGAAACAAATTTAGCAATTTTCCTACAGCCCTGTTGCGGAGGGTTACTTCCAAGACATTGTGGTACCTTTATCTGAAGCCCAGCACTTACACGAAGAGTTGATTACAAGGGAATTAAGGATTGCTACGTATAAAATGGAAAAGGCCTTTAGAGGCAAGGAAGATGAAAGACCAAGGAATAATTTGTTTGCTGAAGTAAAACCAGAAGTTCCTCTGAAAGAAGGTAGAATAGTTTTTATAATGTTCACTATAGCATGTAACTTTTTATTTTGTAGAAAAAATCAAGACCACTTTTGAAATGCAGGGTGATTCACCATGGGGAGAAGAAGGTTTGATATAGGGTGTTGCCACTTTACAGCATAACTTATTTGTTTCTTTTTCTTAGATCTTATGCCAGCTACAAATGTCATTGGAGCTGGACCTGGTCCTCTTGTGGAAGCAGAAGATGTCAAAGCGATGGAGGGTGATGGTCCGAAAGTTATTGCCATGACTAAAGGAATCGAATATTTTGTTGAAACGGAAACACCTTTGTATGAATCCAAGGTTCAATTGAGAGGAACCAATCCACCACTTTATTTCCCAGGTATGCAATATCCTGATAGATACAGACGAGTTTATCATAACTAAGTTTTCTTCTTTAGGTTATGTATATGCCTTACCTTACACAGAAGACCCAGTGCATCTAGCCAAGTCACCTAGCGAAGTTTTTCAAAAAGCCTGGAAATCTATTCACCCAAATTATTTTACTGAAAGAAGTGTTATTTACTTATAAATGTATTGTGATGTTTGGTTTTATATGATGTTTAATAAATGTTTTTGATGACATATTTTTTATTATTATCCACTTCAGTCTTAAAACTGCCCCAGGCACGTTATTTAAAAAAAAAATCCAAACGAGATCTGGAGCTCGAAGGGCCAGTATTAAAGATAATACTTCACTGTACATTATTACCAACCCTAGGTTACCAACATAATCCCCTGCTTATTTCGAAATAAGGAGTAAAAATAGTTGACAATAACTAAACATTTGACATTTGTCATTAAATACTATTTCAGGACATGATTATATTTTAAATTTTTGTGCCCCATTGAGTTTTCTAAAGGTAAGTACAAAAATATCATATTTCAACAAATTGTTTTTATTGTTTTAGATGATTCTTAAAAAATTTCTTAAAATACCCAAAATTTCATCCAATACACGATGGCTGATTCTTCATTTCATTGTAAAAATTATATTGGATGTCTATATTTTTAAAAATGATTTAAACCATTCCTCACTTCATAACATTTTCGAAATAATGAAAAGTACTATAATTGATTATGTATTAATTGTAAGTAATGTAAGACATTTTTGGAGCATTATGTTAATATAAATATAATATACATATATGTATATAAATAATATTTTAGTAAAAATGGATAATTTTTTTTCATTACGGTAAGTTGCAAATTCGTTTTTAATGATTATTATTTAGTATTTTATGTATTTTTAGGTCTTAAAATTTTGTTAGTTTTAATTTGTATATCTTTTTAAATAAAGTTGTTTGACCAAATTGTATTTTTTATTTACATTGCGTGTTTGTAAACTACACATATAAAAAATTTGCTGCTGTTTTTATAAAAATATAATTAGGATTAGTCATTTTTAATTAATTTATTTTAGTGTAAACCAGGAAGCGCAACGATTGAAGATCAGGTATTAAATTTATTTAAAATATACAAAATCTCTTTAATTTTTTTTCTTTATTTTAATTTAGATAAAACGGAAAAAATCCAACGGTTTAAGTAAAAATGGGGTAATAAATATTTATATTAACATAATTATTATTAATGTAAATGTAAATGTTTTTATAGCAAAAAAGAAGCTTTTCAGCAGATATTACAAAGGTGGTAAGTTTCTTTATAAAATATTCCTAATAATATATTATTTATTTTACCATCTTAACAGCAAAAAAGAAGTTTTTCACAAGAAGTGATAGATATGGTATTTTTATTTAAAAAAATCTAATAATTTTTAACTAAACTTTTTTTAGGAAATATCGATGGAAATTGAGGAAACACGAATTAAAAAAAAATGCTATAGAGTAAATATTAAATTTTAACCCAACATTATTGCAAGTTGTAATTTACAACTAATTTTTGTATCGATTTTTTAGAGAACCTGTTATAATGCTGCCTTAGATTCTGAGGTATTTTTGAATACACTTTATGTAAAAATATTCTAAATTGATTAATTTTTAGAATATAAATGACAGTTTTTTCAACCAGGTAAGTAAATGATATATGTATATACATATGTAATACATATTATACATATTATGTTTATATAAAAATTATATGAAACCAATTATATTTTAGAGCTATTATACTTCCAAAGGACCCGTAAGTCATTTCCAATATTATACAAAAATTTTATCCATTTTTTTTCATAGGGCACTAAGAAACCAATTCGAAAGGTAAGTTTGATGAATTTTTATATTAATATTTTGTATAGTGTAACATTATTTAACAATTTTTTTATAGTATACTGAGGATATTTCCTCCATGGTAAGATTTACAAAAAAAGAAATAAAAAAAATTAATTTTGTTGTTATAGCCATCATTAAATATAAAACCTAACAAAAACAAAATCATGACGGGTTGTGATGAAAAGAAACTCATGAAGAAAATTACGGATTATGATATAGGGGTAAAACATAACCATAAAAATAAACACCTACTTACAAAATACTTTAGACTTTAGATCCAAAGGAAGTGATGGACCTAATCGAAAAGGAAACGGACGATGTGGATTTGTTTTCCAAAATTAACCATGAAATGTACGTGCCAACAAATCCAGGAAGCTTTACTGCTAAAAAGAAATTACAAAAGCTGAACGATAATAGCGAAGCCATGCAATCTCTTTATAAGGTATACAAAAACTTTAAATTTAATTTAATTTGATTTAAATAGGTATAGGTTTACATTAATATTTTAATATTTTTTTTACAAAGCAAAAATACATTTTTTCAGTTTTTAGGGAATATCTTGGCCCAGAGTTGGGACAGTTGAAATTTTCAAATGAAAATTTCAACTTTGAAAGTTTCAAACTTGAAATTTGTTTGGAACAATGAAATTTTTAAAAATTTCAAATGAAATTTTCAATCCGAAAGTTTCAACATTGCCTGTGAAGGTTTCAGAAATTTCATTGAAAGTTTCGCAATTTACTGAAAATTTCGCATAAATTTCACTTGCGGCCTCCCCTGGGACCTTTAATAATAATTTACAACAGATTCCGAATCGACCAGTTATCAAGCGTCTGGGTGTAAATTAAATCAGACTTTAAAATTTCAGTCATGATTAATTTAAACTTTTACTTACGGATAAAAATGCCTTTGGCTCATAAAATTTTGATGAAGTTTCTTCAATTTTCGTAAAATTTCAGTAAAATATTTAAAAATAATAAATATACATAAATATAAAACAATGAAAGTGGCACAATCTCATTAGCTTACCAAAAAGTGCTATATCTCTTTTAGTTTTAGTAATTTTAAAAATATTTTAAAAGGAAATCTCAAGAAATTTGTGGTAAACATAGGTATTTACTATTTATATTATTGGTGCATGGGCCCACAGGGTAAGAGGTAAGGGAGGCAATTTGCAATGGTCCCCGAGTGGGCTTATTTCAATATTAATATATTACACTTAAAGTGATTGAAATTTATTAAAAGTTTTAATAAATTTCATAAATTTCATGAAATTTCAGAAATTTAGGAAATTTTATTAAATTTCATAAATGTCATGAAAATTTCAAGTGAAACTTCTAGTACAAGCAAAAAGTGAAATTTTCCCAACCCTACCCACGTATACTTCACAATAAAATTTTGAAAATCAAATTATTTTTTATAAAATTTCCTATAATTTTTGTTTTAAGTGTTTTTTGTTTATACAAATAAGTAAAAAAATATAGTTCGTTAAATTAAAAATTTTGTTTTTGTTTTTTGTTTTTTTTTACTATTTTGCAAATATTTCGCAACCTGTACAATTTACGCTAAACAATTACGTTAAACATTTTGTTGACTTACGAGAAGCGACCAATCCACGAGCATTTGAACATATTTTTCCGGCTTTGCAAACTACAAAACATTTTAAACCGCTTTTCGACATGTGCTTGCTGCGCCGCGGAAAGCCGCATTGATTTGTACACCAGTACGAAATGATGTCGACCAGTGATGATGGTACTGTCTCTCCTGAGGTCTTCACAAGTTTTTAGCTTTACTCTTTTCCCAGCTATGCCTGAATCGGATGAAATGTTCGAAAATAATGATGTTCAGCCTGTGATTGTGTCGTTGGCAAATTAGCGCGATTGTATTTAATTTTCACCATTCTTGCACGAGAACAGCTTTAGCCGGAAATGATCTAGCGTTGTTTTATTGCTTTTTCCTCCATATAGGGCAATGAAAATGGTTTTCCCATTAGGGTTGTAACCTCTTGAAATCGTTACAGCTTTTTAAATCAAAGAAACCTGGCTACAACAATATAGCGTCAACAGGGTAAAACATTTTCATTACGCTTTTTAAAGAAAAAAATATATCTAAATTATTTTTGATTAAAGACGTTCTCGTGAACGAATCGTAAAAATCAAATTCAATCTCGCTTATTTACCACCCACAGAATAGGCGGCTAAACACCATTCTTTTTGAACATTTTATTCGGTGCAGACATGGTTGGCAAATGTTTTAGAACCAGAGTAAGGGGGCTAAAGCTTGAGCCAATGATGACCCCTGAGTCAGGAGAAACAAAACCAAAAACACTTGTCGACATCATTTCTTGCTGGTGTAGTAATCAATGCGGGCAAATCTTTCGCAGTTTGAAATTTTTCTTGCAGGAAAATATGTTTAAACTTTAGATAGATTGCCATTCTCTGACAAAGAGATATGTTTGATCTATCAGCCATGGTTTCTTTAACAAGATACAGAGAATCTGAAAAAGGGCCAGACCTCTCACACGACACTTTCACTAAAAAAAACGCAGTCAAACGATCATAAACATAAAATAAATATATTTTGACGTCGATAAGACATACAGGAAATACCGCAATAAAAAAACGAGCGTGTCACTTCCTCTGAAGTAGTGAGAAAAAGCGTTCTTATGGCGTGGCCATGTTCACTAGAGGATTGGTCTATTTTTTAATTGTAGAATATTAAAAAAGTTGCTAAATGCTATTCATATTAATTTATCATAAAATATAACGTTTGCGAAATATTTGCAAAAAATTAAAAAAAAACAAAAGTTAAAAACAAATTTTTCATTAAAACTAACTATATTTTTCATAAAAAATAATTTTGCTTTTTTACTTTTTATTGTGCAACATACAGGGGCTGAGAGATTCGCTAAAAACTAAAAAAAATGTATTTTTGCGGTTATCTTCTTAACAAAAAATGGTCAGGTGGTGCAAATTTGGTTTTAAGCTTTCGAATAAGCCCCTATTGAATTATTTTTCAACACGGTTTTAAAGCTGGCCTACATGTGATTAAATTCATTGGGCGACCTGAAATATTCTTTTAGCAATTATTGGTACCAACTCCTTCAGCAGATGAAGCTCAATGCGAGCAAACTCCGGAAGGTTTAGCAAAAATGATACATTTGATGTCTCAAAACGTTGACCCTACTTTAAGCCCCACTGTAAACTTCAACACTCTTTTTGAAACTGGGAAATGGTATGAAGCTATCAAAATGAGGTATTCTTTATCCTAAAACACAATTAAAATAATAAAAAAAATATATAAATTTTAGCCCTGTGACACAAGGATACTTTCAGGATGTAGTGGTGCCTTTAGATTCTCCAAAAACATTACACGAAGAACTTATAACTAGGGATGTAAGAATTGCTACACGACAAATGAAAAAGGATTTTATAGATAATGAAGATAAGGCTCCTAAAAATAATATTTTTAGCGAGGTTAAACCTGACGTCGAAGTAAATCCAGGTACAAGATATAGTTGTCTAAAAATGTTTTTCTTCGTTTCAACTAACCTCGTAAAACAACTATCGTTTAAAACCTACATAAAGTAATCTTATTTTTATTTTAAGAAAAAATAAAAACCACTCTAGAAATTGAAGGAGACGCACCATGGGGGGAAGAAGGTGAATCCTCCACATTTTTATATGATTAGTACAATGTCCCATAATTTAATAATAATAATATTTGTAGATTTTGCTCCAGCAGTGAGTGCTGTAGGTGCAGAACCAATTTGTGTTTTGGAACCAACAAACATTAACGAGTTAGAAGGTGATGCTGCCTTGCAAGATGCTATGAAAAAAGGCATTGAATATTATATTGAATCCAAAACACCTATGTATTCATCTACGGTGGCTTTGAGAGGAGGCACACCTGGTGGTAGCTTCCCAGGTAAAAATTACTGACTACAGAAACTATTTACATTTTTGAATAATTGCTAAGTACTAAAGAAATTATTCTACAGTAAAAAAAGTCCTAAATTGTTTTTATTTACGTTGCCATGGTCTAAATCAGTTGTTTATAAGTTACTTAAAAAGAATCCAGTTCGCAAGCTGTGAAAAGGACGTCGAGTCAAATTGCGTCTACGTCTGCTGAAACGTTAATTTCAAATTAACCAGAAAAAAATATTTCAAAAATACCTGTGAATAATAATCTCAATACCCAGAGCCTCAGTTCTCGAAAATAGCTTGATAAAACCATCATTCATGCGAAGACATTTGGATACAAAACATCAGCAGTATATAGACAAGCCTTTATTTATTGTTTAAAAAAGAGGCAATTCATTTATAAAAACCACCATCAATACCAACTTTGAATATTTAGGTGCGCAGCATACTCTCTAATAATGAATTAGTCAAAAATGACTAATTGTCATAGCGAAAAGTGTCTGTTTTTAATAATTATCGTCAATGGCATTTGTATTCCAAACATTTAACAGCCGATTCTTATGTAAAATTATCCCCTGAATCCGAAAATGTCCTTAAAAATTATAAAAGTAGAAGAGTTTTTGAGATCCATGTAATATGAAATTGACTATATCCCAAAAACTGCTCTACTTTAATAATTTTCGACGGTGTTTTCGGATTCTGTGGACAATTTTACATAAGAATTGGTTGTTAAATGTTGGGGATACAATGGTATCCCATGGTTAATCATGGTATAGTGAAAAAGCAGCCACTAATAACTGTAGTAACTAGTCATTTTTGAATAATTCATTTTTAGAGAGTATTAAATGGAGAATTCACTTTACCAGCTGCTAAAGATATGGTCAAGCGCGTACTGAAAGACAAACCGTCAAAAATACTAAATAACCTACCTCTTTCGAATGATACAATTAGTTGCACGGCGCATTTACGACATGGCACACAGTGTTAAAAATCAACTTGAACAACAATTGTAAGTTAATTATTTTGCTATTTAAGTTGATGCATCAGCAGATATAAGTGGACTTCAGAATTTATTTGGCTTTGTTAGATATGTGTGTGAAACAAGATTGTTTGTTTTGACCTTGAAATCTACGACAAAAGGAGAAGATCATTTTAACGCCATCAATGTTTTTTTAAAGAACATGGCATAGATTGGGTTTTGGTATATTGACTGATGGTGCCATGGCCATAACAGAAAGAATATTTGGACTTACTACCCGGATTAAAAATGTTGTTCCTGAGGCATTGTACGCATTGTGCATTTTACATTTTCGCAGGGCTAACAAACTAGTTAACTTGCAAATAGGTAAACATTTGTCCGTCGTCGGGGTGCCCGATCAAGTCAATATTCCTGCTGTAAGCAAAAGTGTAAGAGATTGTCCTTTATTCTGCATCGTTTTAAAGAACATGCAACACGGAACATGGAACAAAAAAAAGGATAAGAAGTCCTAAGAAGTCCCAGAAGCCAACTGAATGGCTTGAGCGGGTAGTCAGCAGCACTAACCACTAGTCCACTGTCAGCGGTAGAACACGCCTATAAAATAAAACAGTAACTTTGATTAGCAGTAACATAGTCAATATATTATTAAGATTACCTTAGGTATACTTTTACCATAAATATCATTTAAATAGTTATTCATTAAAAAAGGGCGTAGTGCGAAAAAAGCACAGGTTACAAGAATATATATATTAGAAATTGCTAGTTTATAAAAATAATTTTTATTAGCTTTAAATTTTGACAAAAAACCTTTTTATAGAGCACTAAATTTTCTATAAAAATATCTGCCAGCAAGTTATAAATTTTTTCCCATTTCATTGAAATATTTTTATCATATAATCTTTTATGCATGACTAAACGGTGTAAATTTTTTTGTAAAAACATTTTTTTAAATTTTAAACAATGGATTTAGACCATGACCAATTAAAAAAAGTTATTTTGGAAATAACGGACACTCAAATGTAGAACATAATTTTAATGATATATGAAGATCTTACCAATAATTTTAAAATGGTTATGGTCAAGGGTTATGACGCATTAACTCTTTAATACGTGATAGGGGACACTCAGAGTACGGGAAAAATAATAATAAAAAATTACACAAGTTTACAAATTCCGGCCCACTTTTGGACCCGAGCAGATTACAACGATTTTTGACATTATTTGATGCGCGCTGAATTCGAATCTTAAATCCGTTTAGCTACATTGGTTCTAGTTTTTCAGTTGTCGCAGGTGAAGGGCTGGCTTTTCAGTACTTAATCAAGTTGTTTCCAAATTTGTCGTACGCAAAAATCAAAGAAGGAATATTTGTCGGACCTGATATTCAAAAAACCGACGGAAACTATACAAAATGTTTAACGCCTGATGAAGCGGCAGCATGGACCTCTTTTCGAAGTGTTCTTCACAACTTTCTTGGTAACCGAAAATCCCCGGATTTCAAGCAAATCATCGTCAATTTGTTGCAAAATTACCGCAAGATTGGATCTCAAGATGCATTTCCTCCATTTCCACCTCGATTTTTTCCCTGAAAACTTGGGCGATACGAGCGACGAACAGGGAGAGCGACTACACCAAGATCTCGCAAACATTGAAAGGAGAAACCAAGAATTTTGGGATGAACGCACGATGAGCGAGTACTGTTGGACTCTAATGCATGAAACGGATCCAAAACAATATATAAGACTTAGTTCCACCGTTCTTCATTTCTAATTTATTACTTTTAATTGCCATTAAATAAATATAACTGCCAAAGATCGTACAAATTTAATTTATTTACTGTCTCGAAGACTAAAACCAATCTTAAAAAACGGAGTGAAGATTTGGATTCAGCGCCCCAAGTAACATTAAAAAAACTTGCTCAGGTCCAAAACCTTGTATACTTGTGTTATGGTCTTTAATTTGGTGAGATTTCACTATCTTTGCTTTTCGGAATTTGCAAAAACTAGATGATTTTATAGGTATAAAAAGAGTACTATAATCGTTATCAATTTAAAAAATTGCTCAAAAGGTATTACTGGCTTGAAATTAAATGAAAAATTTATTAATTAATTTATTTAAATTAATATGAAAATGCCTTTTTCTTTATCCATATACTGTTATACGCATTTGACAAAAACGGTTTTGGTAACTAAACTACCTACATAATTTATGCAAAGCTGGCAACAGCGCAATTAAATTTGGCAATGCCGCATATTGCCTAATATTTTGTTGGATCCCCTGTTATCGATTTGATTGCGGGGATTTTAATTGGTTAATTTTTTTAAATACCGAACAAAATTTAAACGGGCTTCTGGCCGATTAGTTTTTATTCTATAAAGTTAATCTTTTAATATGTCAAACTTTGGTCTTTTACGCGTCAATTCGTTTATTTCGGCCAATTTCAAAAATTTCTTTCGCCCTACAAAACGTAAATTTTTCAAAAAAAATCAAAAAAGATCGCTGCTCGAAAAGTTTCCGGCGGATCCGGCCCGTTTGCAATAGGAAACGAATTATCGTCCCGAATCACCTTTTCAAAAAGGATGAGCGATAGGGAAGCACGCTTCGCGCGCCACAATATAGCTGTATGAGTTTTTTTGTGTTAGCGATAGTACATCTTTGCTTGCTCCAATTTTTTAATTTAAAAGCCTAGCAACCGTTATTTATGAACGGATCAGAACGGATTTTTCAAAGCAACCCAATACTACTGTATTCGTAATAAAATTGCCTTCATTTTGTTATATTTTTCAAGTGGTAAGCATATGAGTGCAATTACTGATAACTTACCTGTTTGTACACAGCAACCAGGTAATAGGGACCAGAAAAAGGTAGGCAACCTAGCTGTTACATATTCTGTATGTTGTATGCTTTCCATTGGAATTTCGGTCATTTGGCAAGCAAGTCAGTGAAATTTTAAAAATAAATTATTTTTCATAATTTTTATTTATTATAGCCATGATCATATTTTTTATTGCAACCTTATTGGTTTATGTTCAGAAACATATTTTATTTGATAAAATGGATGGGAAGATGGGTAAAGGTCGATCTTACTATAAGTACTAAAAGAAAGTGAAACAAATAATTAAACTAATAAAAGGAATTGGGCGATTTACTTTAGTTTGACAAAACTATCGAAGTAGGTAAATCTAATATAAACAAATTGGTTTGAAATACAATAATGAATATGGGTACCTTACACTGAATTAATTGAAGCTGGCGAATACTGACTTTAAACGAATATCTGCGAACGGTTTGAAAAGCACGATAAGATATAAAGACTAGAGATTTAAAGATCGGTTTGCTTTTTTATAGAAAATTAAGGACAATCGGAAGGGATAAATTCTTATAGACCCTTGGTCAAAATTATAGTAACTCTGGAGTAGAGAAAAAATACTTTTTCTACTCATATTACGGAATTTGACCGTTCTAATATTTCTTTTATCTATAGAATGACATATATTCCGTAAAGTGTTAAAGACTGAAATATTCTATCATCTGATGACAGAATAAACACTCGTGGCGACATCTCTGTTTTTAATATCTAACAAATTTTAGACCGATCCTTTCTTCCAATTAAATTATTTTTCTATGGTATTTTTTGGAAACGTAGAAAAAGTATAGTCTAAAACACGTTTGGTTCCGCTCTCGTGAAACCGTCAAACTCTTCACTCGAGCAGAATATGCTGTATTCCAAACTTGTTACAGAATATACTATGTATTATTACCTCTATGTAAATTTTCTTTAAAAACAACCCAATAAATTCGTTTTGACATTATAGCTAAAGTACCCTTTTTAAAAATAACTTATTTTGCACATGTTGAGGATTTCTAAACCTTTCTAAGAAATTTTCCAACTGCGCCTTTTTCTACGAATTATTCTAATAGTCCGGGAGGCAGTGAAGATTTTCGGTACTTATTTTCCCAGTCGGCAAACACCGATACAATTATTGAGTTTGTTATTCTGAGCAAAATTTATATATATTTAGGGGGGGGGTTTCCGATGGGTTAAGGCAGAAAATGCGTTATAAAGTACAAATATATTGCACTTTTTTTCCAGTGATAAAAATAATTCCATTAGTGAGAGATATAGTGAACTTAAGAAAAAAAATGGTCTGGCTAATCTGTGAGTATGGGTAATATGTCTGGCAGGTGGAAAAATTATCAAAACCATTGCCCTTATTTTCGCAGTCCTAAAAATTTTGTGAGATGATAGTTTATATTATAATTACAGCTGCAAATATAGTCTGGCTAATGTGGAACACTCCGAAAGCCTTGCCAGACTCGTCCAACCCTCCACAGGCGCGCTAAATTCGGCATGTTCAATTATACAGGCGATTGTTGTCATCTCTACATGTTTTTACTTTTCATAATGTATGATAAGAAAATAATTTGTGTAAAGCAAAATTTAAATATGGCTAAAAAAAATGTCAGTCCGTCCGCCACCAAAAAACTTTATTCGCGAATAACTTTGTCACTATCAGAGATACGAGAAATTTTGTGCAGTTGTTTTTTGTAGGATTCTCTACAAAATCGATCTCTTGACAGTCTTTTGTATCTCCCTTAGTTTTTGAGTTATATCAATAAAAAAAAAAGAAAATCGCGAAAATTCCCATTCAAACGCGAGTTTTTGCTATCTGACTTGTCAGTCTGGCGGGGCTTTCGTGATTGTAAATATCAGCCAGACGTGTATTTTCTACGAAATTATAGTATTATTTATCATGTGACAAATTTTCAAATCCGGGAAAATAAGAGCAAAATTTTTGTAATTCTTACGATTTTCAAGATGCCGCCAGAACAATTTGCCAATTTCATAAATCAGCCAGACTTAATTTTGATTATAGTTTATGACAGTACCAAATAATGGGTTGAATTTTAAGCATGGGAAAATAAGGGCTACGTATTTCAAAAACCGGTCAAATTTTTGCTTCCGCAAATTTTCAGCCAGACTGACTTTCCTTCACTTGGGATGTGCCAGACTGTTATTTCCATTAATAAAATTACTCACTTTAATTAATGTGAAATATTTATGACTGGGAAAATAAGTGGACTTGACTTTTTGGCTCATCTAGTGAACCCATCCGAAAATTTTAGCCAGACACACAAATTGTCGTTTTGTGTCACCATTTGAACAAACTTAATGACATTCACAAACTGGGAAAATAAGAAGATAAAAATATTCACTGCCTCCCGGACTATAACCGTTTTTTCCAACTTTCTCCCTATTACAGTGTTAAAGGTTGCTAAATTTACTGTTCAATATTTTGCTAATATCTTTTAAAATAGGTATAGACCTGGATTTTTTCCCGTACTCCACTGTGTCCCCTAAAACGTACTGAAGAGTTTATCCATCAGTTTTTTTACAACATAATATTATATAACAACAAAATCACTTATTTTAAAGGTTATGTTTATGCTGTTCCAAATGTGGACCAGGCAGTAAACTTGGCAAAATCGCCCAGTGAAGTTTTCCAAAGGGCTTGGCAAATGTGTCATCCTAACTGCTTCAAAGGAGACTCCATTGTAGTTAACAATTAGAGTTTTTGTTCTAGAATTTTCATTAAACATTTTTGACAAGATAACCTAGTATTATTTTTTAAAAATTTTGTATTGTCAAATACCGATTTGGTTATCCTAAATTTTTGATATTAGTATGATTAAAAATGTTTGGTTGTAATATATCTACATCTCCGGTAAGAAGTCATTTAGTATTAGGTACCTATACGACTATTTGTAAAAACATTTTTTATTTAGTGCAATGTATTAGAGGATTGTCCACAAACTTTAACAGTAAGTATTTGGATAAACTATTGATGTACCTATTAAATCTAATTTCCGTAATACTTTAGATAATGAATTGTGATAACTTTGTAAGTTTTTATAAATTATCTATTTAGAACAGGCTGTCTTAAACTTGGTATTTAATAGGTATCTACTGATTACTCTAGTAGGAATTTAACCACCGATAATGAAGATTGTGATGGGAATTTACCTATACCAACAGTGGTTTGTACTAGTTTTATTATTATACGTCCTGATAAAGTATGAGGTATCTACAACAGAGAGTCTGATCTACAATATACCCAAATAGCATACCCTGCTTAAAATACCCCATAGAGACACTGTTCAAACCGATAGATATTTGTATCGGAATGTATGATGTTTCTATAGGGTGTATCGGTATGTATAGGACCCATAGTTGGGATTTATGGTTGTTCTATAGGGATCTCCACCCTTGATTTATTTGCTATTTGTTTCAATGGGGAAAATACACATAAATGTAGAAATTAGTTTTTTCCCTATAGGACCCCATAGGTTTTAATAAAATTTTGTCAAATGTTTTATGGTTGCTCTATAGGGATATCCCTATATATCCTTCATTAAGTTAATTGCTATCGGTCTCAAAAGGGAAAATGTAAAAGTTATGGTGTGCCTATAGGTAATTTCCTGTAAATTTTCTATCGGGCCGTATCCAGAAAAAACCATGGGGTATTTTAAGCAGGGTAGCGAATTCACATTATTTCGTTTAATTTCTAGGTTTGACTAAAAATGTAGATTTACTCACTTTCTTTATCAAGATGACATTTTTGTTGATATTTTATATATATGTATTATATTTTCAGGTCAAAGATGAGACTTCTCAAGCAAGCTGGGTTAATACATTTTACTATAAATACCTTACCTATAAATATTATTTGTTACAATATGTTTTAGCTTCCCAAATGCCACAGAAAATCAAATTTAAAAAAGAAAAAATGCCAAAAATCCAGCAAGAAGAAGACGTGCTTCAATCTAGAAAACGTAACAATAGAAAATATATTTAACAAAAATATAGAGGTATACAAAATAAAGATAACAAAACAAACATTAACTTTAATATTTAGATCATCAAACCCGAAGACGTGCAAGTATTAGTCGAAAAAGAAAACGAAGACATCGAATTATTCTCAGGGATAGCCAGAAGTTACATACCTTTTAATCCAGGAAATTTTTCACCGAAGAAAAAATTACACAAAATCAGCATGAACAGTGAAGCTATGGCTTTGCTCTATGAAGTAAATAAATATTACTCTGCTACATTCTAAAGAATATTTTAAGAGCCAGAGTATTCTCTTTAACAGTCAAATATATCATGTCATCTTTAAAAGGCTTTAGCACTTACGAGGTGTATTCAGAAAATATCGGGAATTTTCGTTTTTTGAAACAAATATTTATTTATTCGGCTACATTAATGTTGTCGCCTTCAATATAGTCTCCATTGGATATTATGCACAAGTGCCAGCTCTTCTTCCAATACTCGAAACACTTCTAAAACTTGATCTTTGGGATAGCCTTTAGTTCTTTCAGCGATGCGCTTTTAATGTCATCTATGCTTGAAAAACGACGGCCCTTTAAGGTTCTATTTATTTTTGGGAATAGGAAAAAGTCAGACAGAGGCATGTCTGGCGAATATGGAGGCTGGGGCATCATTACAGTATTGTTTTTGGCCAAAAATTTTGTTTAAAATTTAACAATTTTGGAACAAATTTTGCTGCCACCCGTTTCATACCCAAAACATTCGAAAAAATTTCATGGGATGAGCCAATCGATATACCAACATCATCAGCGACTTCTCTGATGCTTTATAACCATTTCTTCCAGTTTTTCCATGTTTTTATCGCTTGTTAATGTGCTTGTGCGTTCGGGGCGTTCGTCATCTTCAACGTCTTCACGGCCATCTTGGAAACTCTTATACCACTTGTAAACTCTTGTTTTACTTATAGCAGACTCACTATAGGCCTTTGTTAACATTTCACAGAATTTATTTAATTTTTTAAGCAAAATTGGATACAAATTCTTTGATCCATTTCTTTCCAACGAACGAAAATCGTCGAGCTCATAAAACACGTCTAACCTTAGCGGCTGCCACAGACAAAGTAAACAATGAAAACAGCTAAAGTTTTTATCATACTTCGGGGGCATGTATACCAACATAATAAAGAATTTTATGACAACCGGACCCTCCGAACCCGCGAAATTTAACAATTCCCGTTATTTTCTGAACACACCTCGTATAATCGTCTCTAGAATGAAACACGCTTATAATTTTATACATTATTATTTATTTCTTAGTCAGTTTTTAAGTCTACTGAGTTTCCTTCCGCTGATTCTGCTCAAATAGAACCAACTCCAGAATTAATGGCTTCAATAATGCATCTGATTGAAAATAAAATAGATCCCCTACTGGAAACCAATGTTCACTTTAACACATTGTTTACTGGTGAAAAAGGTGGATCTGGTGATGATTCTTTACAACTAAGGTATATTTGTGTTATATTTTTAATCTTTTTAAAAGTAATATTTTAGTCCATTGGCTGATGGTTATTATCAAGATGTTATAATACCTTTACAAGAACCAAAAACAGCAAAATATGAAATGTTAACAAGAGATAACAGAATAATTACTGCCAGATTAAAAAAATTAGGAGGGGGGGATTTAAAGGATGATTTATTCAAGAGTCTAAACTGGGATGAATATAACATGGGTAATAAATAAAAAGAACAATAGATAACGATAATGACTATTTTTTTAGACAAACTAAATAAGTCCCTTGCCAAAACTGAAGGCGAAGATTCCTTCTATACTTCAAATAACATTGGGGCTGAACCCATCACCATTCTCGATGCAATCGATATAAACGAAAGCACAACTTTGAAGCAAGATTTGCAAAATGGAATTCAGTATTTTATCGAAACAACCACCCCAAAATACTACTCCAGAATACAGCTCAGAGGAAGTGAACCACCTCAATTTTTTCCTGGTAAGAACGTTTCAAATGTTTGATTATTTTACCAACCATCTGTTTTAGGATATATCTACGCCACATCAGATATACCAGAATCAGTAAAGTTGGCCAGGTCTCCAAGTGAAGTTTTTGAAAAGGCATGGATGGCGACTCATCCAAAATACTTCAGGGAATGCTCCCTAATATCATTGTAAATAAATTAAAGGTAAATAAAAACCATGTCTAACAATTATAATTCTTATATTCAACGTTTGCATATCTAAGATAGACCTCTGTGATATGGAAATAAATGTTATTGTCTTATTAAATAATATAATTTGGCAGTTAAATAATTAATTTATTCTTATTTAATTTAAATAAAATTAAAGGCCTTTGTTGAAGTAGACTAACTCTGGAGGATTGTTGTATTGTTTCTGGATTTCCTCCTGGAAAATAATGAAATTGTTAATGGACATACTAAAGTCAGAGTAAGGGGTATATATTTTATTAATTTTACACTTTTTCCGTAATACTAATGCTTTTTGTATACTAAAGCAAATAAGGATAGGGTCTGGTATAGTAATAAACGTATTGGGGAGTGTTACAGTGGAATTTTTTCTCTAGGATACACTAGAAAATATAAATTTTGCAAAACACGTAAAAAATTGTGTCCCCTTACCTTTAACTCAGGTTCCAAATGTTTGAAAGGTATCGAGGCCTTTTGCTTGAAAAAAGCGCAAGCCAAAGGCGTTGCGAACGTGAGGCAAAGACCTAAAACACCTACAGTGGCTGGTAAATTTATCCATGGATATCTGCATAGGGTTCCACGTTTTTCCAAATAATCCATAACGATTGGAGTGATAACTAAAAATTATCGAGATATTAGTTTTGATTTCTAAATGGTGAAAGTCAATTTTTACCCATTCCAGGCATTGCCATGAAAATTCTGCTAAAGATGACTTGACTGATGCCACTTTGGGCAGCTACTTTAGAGTAGCCTAACTTGTTATTGTTCTCATCAAAAATGGGTGTTCCCATTTTAAGTTCCCTGTAAAAAATACTGGTTATTTAAGTCAAAATTATGTTTTTCCTTACTTACTGTGCCCTCATCATTGGAATGTTGATACAATTCGAAGCTGCCACTGCAGCTAGTGGTACAAAACGGCCTATCAAGGGTGGCATACACTTAAAAAAAAATAGAATAATACATTTAATATTGATGATTTTGTTAACCTACTTTTACTAAGCTGTTTAGCCCAAGAGCTGTACCAACAGCACCTCCAGTCGCAAAAACGTACGAAGCCAAAAGTTGCCTACAAAAAGTAAAACAAGTGATAAGAGCCGAGAAGTTTTAAGGTATATATTCTAAAATCGGTAGCAAATTTGACTGTTAAGTTTAATTATTTTTGGTTAACAATGCCTTAATTATGTTGTGACAGGAATTTAAAATTAACAAATTTTATCACTATACTGTCCAATTATGGATAAAGGCAAAAAATTCCAAATGCGTTTTTTATGCTACAGTAGGTATAGCTTAATTCAACACAAAAATGCGTTAAACTATCTCATAAATTGAAAACCTCAATTAAATATACCTACTTCTTTTTATTAAAATGTACACAGTTACAAAAATTTGTTATCAGTTTGTAGTTTGTTACTTTTATTTTGTAAAGAAGAATTGTAAATAACAAAGACCAACATTTTACCGAAAGTTTAGTACTAGGCAATTTTGTAAGCGATTTGTAAATTTTCTTAGTTTACAGATTATTTTGTTGAAAAAGTACGTCATATCAGGCAGCCAATCAAAACATTCCCCACTGACTTTTTATCATCAACCATCTACTTCAATCAACAAGTCAACTGACTTCAGCGTCTGCAACTTGTTCTTACTAGTTTATTCTTATTCGTAACGTGTTCGTATCAACTGGAGTGTTTATAATATATTACCAGAAATCTGTTATTATTGTTATTCAGATTCCTTATACTTATTAACATTTACTCAATGCTTATTAACGAGTGTGCGAAGAGCAAGCAAAGTATCCGAAAAAAAGATTCCATCACTGGTTTTCAAACTGAATTAGGGGTACAGAAAAGTGGGTTAATGTTAGGAAATATATATAAGTAGTTCTAATAGTTATATTGTCCCAAATTTCTACATAATCTGATAATTTCAGAATGTGTTGTATTTTTGTGTTCATTTATGTATGTGTTAATTTTTTTGTTTAGGAAATTGATTAATAAAGCAACATTTCTTAGCCAAACTTTTTTCATTTAAGTTTCCAATTTCCAACAAATGCTTTTGTTGGTCTACAAAAAGGTTTGTTAGAATAAGGTCCTTTTTGAAAATTACAGTAATTATGGTTAAAATATTGACATGGAATTTTGTTATTAAATCTACAAAATATCTAATAATTACAAATTACTTAGGTATTTACTTAATTAACAGATTACAGTTTGTTGTAAACGTAACATAAAGTTATGTGGACCTGGATGTTAATAAAATCTGGTGATTATTTATTTAAAATTAAAAAATATTTTTTTACTGTGTAGTTTATGCTAATTTTCCACAATTTTTTTTAGTAGTTAGGTAGGTACTAATTTATTTCATAGGTGTTCAAAGTAACTATTATTGTTGTCAAAGTAATCTGTGAGAATTTCTTTAATTTAAAATAGTATATGGATTACTGTCCTGCGCATCAATGCTTATTGTATTCTTTTCACAGTGTAGTCATTTTTTTTCTTGGCGTTCCACAAAACAATGTTTACTAACATACAGCTTGTTCAGAATAAAACCGAATATATCTATATATATATGGGGCGTGGCCTCGCCTCCCTCCAAGGCGCGTCACAGTAGCTTTTGTGATAAACGACAAAGGTCGAGCAGGTAAGGACTTAAAAAATTAAATGATAATAATGCAAAAAATCTCATTAGCGACGCAGGCTATTTGCTTAGCTACTGTGTCGCGCGTTGGAGGGAGGCGAGGCCACGCCCCATATATATATATAGATATATTCGGTTTTATTCTGGACGGGCTGTATGTATTTCTTTATCAATCACTTATCAGAGCCGGCAAATCGGTTTTAGCCCACGTGGGTACAATTTGACGAAGGGGGTTTTTGTTGTTGATAAAAATAATACTGGCATAAGCTCTTGACGAAAAAATTATTTTTTTTTGCCAAAATTTGACAGTGCTTTGACAAAAACAGTATTTGTTCAATATCAAAAAAATATATTAGTGATGTTCGTGACACTTAGGGCTCTGGTTTTTGGCAGTTAGGCTTTTAGCGTTGGATTAAAGCGGGTGCGTTGTAGAGGTGTCAATCCCAAACCCTTTTACTAATCCCGGGATCCCGAAAAAATACATAGGTATCGTTAATTTTAAAACCAATTTAAAATAAAGGAACAAACAAACCAACGAACGGACTTTACACCAGTAACTGTTAAAGGAATGGTTTTCAAGAATTCGTTGGCACATTGTATCTACTTTTACCCCCATTAACAAATAATTACATTTCATTTATCAATCGGGCCTTGGTGAGTTCCAATTGGGGCTGTACCTAACTACATGTAACTTACATTGAAATTATCGAGTTTGTGACATTTTTTCAGGTTTGACGTTTAAAATATGTTATATTATAGGTTATGTACTATGCTCCACACTTCAAAGTCCCACCACGTGACCAGGTACGGAACGCAGTCTTTTGAAAACTTGTCATTTAAGGCTTTTCAGGTTATGTATCTGTCAAAGTATAGTCAATGAAAGAAATAATATTTATGTTTATGTTTAAGCGTTAAAAGTTTATAAATCTTTATAGTATCACAGTAACAATGGTTGGTTTAAGAGTTTAGGAGTATAAATACTGCATTTAATGAAATTCTAAACTGTATAGTGCCAAATAAGTAAAATTTATGTGCATTTGGTCTACATAATATGTTAATACCTATATTATATCTGGTTTTATCCATAAAATAGTTTTAACTAAACGGCATTTATTAAAAAAATCTAGCTTCTCTATTATGGAATAAGAATAGAATATCAAAGGTAGGTTAATACATTATAACAAAAAAAATCATCTAATTTTAAAATTTTAAGGTTAGAAAAATCTTTTTTGATCAAAATAAATAAATATTTTGGATTATTTGGAAGAGTGTGTTAATATGGTCATATAAATATAGATATACTAAATAATTAATTATTATTATAACAATTGTTGAATATGGTTCAAATTAAATTAAAGCTTTTATACTCCTAACAACAAAACTTGTGCATACCTTTTCGGGATCCCTACTTTAAGTTAGATTATAAGGAAACAAACAATATATAGATACATGCAATGTAAAAATATTTAATACTCCCATAACATGTGATTTTTGAAATTTTAAAAATTTTAATGATTTTTCGATGAAGATAAAATTCAGTTGAAGCTTTATACCTACGTAATTGTATTGACAAAACAATATGTAGGTATACTTTAAGCTGGATAAGAAAGACTACTACAAGTAAAAATATTAGATAGAGTATACTGTGGTTTTATTTAAATTTTAAAATTTATAAGGTTATTTATACCTAACGATGTAGATAAAAATTTTTTGAAGCTTTTATATATACCTATAGGTACTTGTAATGACACTATGGGTATATTAGCTGACAGTGTAAGGAACTTTAAGAAGGTTAGCTATTGAATTTTTAAAAAGAATTTACAGTTTTTTTAAAATTAAGTATCTAATGGTTTTATATTTGAAATGTTTAATATTGCTTATTTCCAAGAGCCAGTTGTTCAATTATGATGTCTATTTTGTTTTACTCCGGCATAAATATTTTCAACTGTAAAACTTAACTATTTTAAGATTTTTAAAATTAATTTAATATTAAAAGGGGTTAATTTTTAAAGAAGGAATCTAAAAACAACACCTTAAAATTATTAAAATTTGCAAATTATTAAATAATTTTAAATAATGTTTTTTATTATTTTACAAATTTCCAAACTTATTTTTTTTTCTATATGTAAGTTTTTGATTTTAGATTCTTTAAATTTTTATTTAAAATATATTATTTTTTGTTTATTTAATTAATCAAAGATGTTTATATGTAGGTACTTTAAATAAATAAATATTTATGCCCAAGTTAAACAAATTAGTCATCCACTACCTAAATGTAAGCTGTAATTAAATAACTTGCTCTTGGAAATAAGCACCATGAGAGATCTCAAATATAAAACCATTAGGTAGGTACTGTAACTGTAAATTGTTTTTACAAGTGTTTTTGGAAATTCAATAGCTAACCTTCTTAAAGTTCCTTACACTGTCAGCTAATATACCCATAGTGTCAATACAAGTACCTATAAAAGCTTCGACAAAATTTTATCTACATCGAACAATCATTAGGTATATAAATAACCTTATAAATTCTAAAATTTAAATAAAACCACAGTATACCCTATCTAATATTTTTACTTGTAGTAGTCTTTCTTATCCAGCTTAAAGTATACCTACATAAAGTTTTGTCAATAAAATTACATATAAAACTTCAACTGAATTTTATCTTCATCGAAAAATCATTATAACTTTTAAACTTCAAAACTTCAAAAATCACATGTTATGGGAGTATTAAATATTTTTACATTGCATGTATCTCTAAAAATTGTTTGTTTCCTTATAATCTAACTAGGGATCCCGAGAGGTATGCACAAGTTTTGTTGTTAAGAGTATAAAAGGTTTAATTTAATTTGAACCATATTTAACAATTATTTAGTATATCTATATTTATATGACCATATTAACACATTCTTCCAAATAATCCAAAATACTTAGGTATTTATTTTGATGAAAATAGATTTTTCTAACCTTAAAGTTTCAAAATTAGATGATATTTTTTGTTATAATATATTAACCTACATTTGATACAGATATTCTTATTCCATAATAGACAAGCTAGATTTTTTTAATAAATGCCGTTTAGTTAAAACTATTTTATTGATAAAACCAGATATATGTAGACCAAATGCACAAAAATTTTACTTATTTGGCACTATACACTTTGGAATTTCATTAAATGCAGTATTTATACTCCTAAACTCTTAAACCAACCATTGTTACTGTGATACTATACAGATTTATAAACTTTTAACGCTTAAACATAAATGGTAACAGTATAAATATTAGTTCTTGCATTGACTATACTTTGACAGATACATAACCTGAAAAGCCTTAAATGACAAATTATCAAAAGACTGCGTTCCGTACGTGGTCACGTGGTGGGACTTTGAAGTGTGGAGGTACATGAATTTATTCTACAGTGACCTGTAATTTTACATTTTTTTGCTGATTTTATGCAAAACGCGATAGATAGAACCAATTTATTTTCATTATTTTAAGTTTTTCAGTATATGAAAATTGTTATACGCTTGAAAAAAAAATATATTTCATTCTTTGTAACTTATTACTAAGATCCCGGGATTAGGACTTTAATCCCGGAATTTTCGGGATCAGATTTATTACGGGATCCCGGGACCCCGGGATTTCGGGATCCCGGGATTGACACCCCTAGTGCGTTGCACAAAGCGGGATAAAGCGGGTACAATGGATCACTCTTTCTTGTGGGGTTGCATACGGTTCAACTTCTTCGTTCTTAATACACTTATGCGGTCAATTCGTTAATTAAAAATAGTTGAGCTAAACATGCGCGCTGGGTGCAATAAGCGGGATATAGTATTTAAATAACTATAATAAAAATTAAACAATAACTTAAAATTTCGCGGAGACGAAACAACACGATTGTATAACTAACTTCACCTTGTAACTAAAAACCTGTTGTTAACTTCAGCCCGTGAGTAAAACGCCCTAAAGCCACAACTTGTCAATGTGAATTTAAAAGGTCACTTAGTGTTATAGAAACATGTACGATAATGTGCGTTTTAAAGGTGGGAGTAGAAAATAGTTTATTATGTATTAAGTTTGATAAACGCCATTAGGGACACGAATAGTGCTTAAATTAATGAATTTCTAGACAGACAACAGTCCCAGCAAACCAAATCATGTCACAGTGATATAACATTTACATAAAAATTGTTCCTTACTATGCAACAGCTATGTCACCTATATGTAATGGCAATGCTCCTATGTCCGCCTCAAGACGCCTTCCTGGGTATGTAACTGTGATGTAACAGTGTTTTATCATAGTTATGTAACTGTAATGTTACAGCGCCATATCAGTTATGTAACAGTGATATAACATTTACATAAAAATTGTTCCTTACTATGCAACAGCTATGTCACCTATATGTAATGGCGATGCTCCTATGTCCGCCTCAAGACGCCTTCCTGGGTATGTAACTGTGATGTAACAGTGTTTTATCATAGATATGTAACTGTAATGTTACAGCGCCATATCATAGTTATGTAAACGTGATAAAACAATTATGAAATATTTATAAATATAATTTCATGTAATATATTATCTTACTGGTATTAAAAATTGCTTAGCCCTAACTTGATATTATGGCAAATTTTTTGAAAAAAAATCAACAAAATTTTAAAATTGCCATAATACCAAATTAGAACTAAGAAATTGTTAATGCCAGATAATATATTAAATAAATTATAAATAAATATTACATAAATAATAAGTAAACATTACAAAAATAAATGATTCTGAAAGAGATTAAAAAAAAACAAATTGGTTTAAATGTTTATTAAAAATTATTTTAATTAAAAAAAAAACAAATCATTTCCTCTTTCGAACTTCTTAAAACAAACGAAAAGTTTTTCCAAACAAAAAAAAAATCCCAAATACATTAATACTTCAAAGCTAAAAAATATATGGTAAAAAAGATAAAGCAATCCCATGAATTTAATATTAATATACCTTCTTTTCATGGGTTTTTTGCTTCCCTATAGGGTATACCAAATCTTTGTTTGGCCTGCCGGAACCATTCGGAAACTATGCCTTCAAAATTTTTGTCTGTCGAAGTGCACACAGCAGCTTAAAAAAATTTATTTAATAAAAAATCCCATAAACTTTACATTTTTACCCTTCAATATTTCAACAGATTTTAAATTTTGAATTTTATTGTTGTTTCTTAGCCCCAGCCAAGAGCAATCTTTTGCCAAATTATTTGAGAAGATTTTCTTTAAAACTCTTACTGTGGCATCTTTCTCTGAGACGCCTCCAATTTTTGTTATATACTGAAACTGAAAAAAAATACAATTTAATATTATTTTTGTTTATTGATTTGTTTTCAAAACAAAGAACAACTATTCTTTATGTAGTTATGTAAATGATATTTGGTACAAATAATAATTTGTTTGATTTTATTTATTCAAGTCAAATGCACCCTGCAACCTTAAGAGATATAAAAATAATGAAAAATATGGAATTTGCATAAAATTAATTGTCACAACAATTATAATAAAAAAGTGTATCCATGGATGCATCTTGGTTATTTAGCAAAATTATTATTTAAGTACCATGGTAACTGCAGTTGAAAAAACAGTATAAAGTTAAAAAATATATAGAAATTAAACTCTTATTTTGGCTACCAAATATCATTAAATTATAATTTGTCGCTTGTTTTTTAGCACCCTGTTTTAAAAACAAATTAACATTATTAAACAGGTTTAAAATCGCCCTTTATATACTTACAAATTCAGCCCCTACTTCTTTTTGCAATAATGTTTTCTCAAAACTTTTAACAGATCATTAATAAAAAGTTGACTAGGTAAGTATCTATTACACAAATCTTGCAAATCTTCCACAAAAGTATGGGAATTTTTCCTATGACCTCCTGAATATTCTCCCAAATTTTCTGTAAAAATATTTTTATTATATGTTTATTTATTGGCTGGTTAGGGAAAGATAATACTTCGGTTTTAGCCTCAGTATATTCCACATTGTCTTGGGTATTTTCTATACAATTTCTTACCTCCACGCCCATTATTTTGAGATCTGCATTAATTCTCCTCCGCTTTTGCTTCCGGGATAGGGAAATATATTTTTTTCTATTTTTGTCTTCTATTTTATTATAAAAAAATGGAATCAAACTTAACTTAACTTAAAACACAATAGAGAGCACTCGACACAACCGTTTAAACGAGTTCGTTAGTAAGATAAAAAGGCTATATAAATACTATAAAACAATGTTTTAAAAACATTAATATATAACATTTATATATCATTGTTACAATGTAGGTATAAAACATTGTTATATAGCCATGACATAATAGGGATGTAAATATAACAAGAAGGGATCATTTTGATATAACTATTATATTAAATTTTTTTATTATAATTATGTAACAAAATAAAGAAAAACTATGTAAATACCATATAATAAGGTTATATGGATACTATAAAACATTGCCATATATCATTGATGTATCATTGTTCCATTGTAGATATATAACATTGTTATATGGCTGATACATAAGGGGGATGTAAATATAACAAGAGGGGAACATATTTATATAAATGTTATATTACTATGTTTTATCATAATTATGTAACAAAATAAATAACTAATATGTAAATGTTATGTAAACAATTTTATATGGCAATGTTCTTTGTTAGTTATATAATGGTTATGTAAATGGAACAGCCTGGTTTGCTGGGGTTTTTTACAGTGAAAGTGAAGAAAATGTTTTATAAGCACTTCACTGTAGAGCCCGAGCCCGAATTTAAGTTATATTTAGTTTACTGCCGGTAAAAAGGTAAGTACAATGTTCATTTAAACTTTTTAAATATTGGCGCTAAGAAACTATTTAATGATTTTGTATTTTTGTATAGTGATGATAAAATAATTTTTACATTTAGTATTATTTTACAAGAAGGGCACTTAGTGGTTTAACAATTGTATGACATTTGACAACTGTTAACTAAATTAAAGCTAACTTCAGCCAGTTACTAAAAACCTGTTGCTAACTTCAGCCCGTGACTAAAAAGGATTTTCTTTGGCGTTAAACAAAATTTATTGCCAGAAAAGTCTCGTAAGTACTAGAAAAATCATAAAAATATTATAACCAATATGCAAAATATTATTTTACTAGTATGCTGTTTAAAGTATAGCCAACCTATAAAATCATTACAGCACCGCAAGCGGTGTTATAATGAAGTCATTATGAACGCAAAATAGAAAAAATTATTTAAATCGTTTTAAAATCGAGAAAAAGTACATACTATAGAGGTTTAAACTTTAAATTTTAAAAATAATTCTATAAACTTTATATATAAAATATGATGTTTTTTGTTTTATAACAAGTAAAAAGATTTTGTGTCACAAAATTTGGTTATGCTTGAAGTAGGTGTTTATTTTTGCATACCCTTTATTCGTAAAGCTTAACAATGTTGGTTTAATCTAGGGAATTAGTAAAATGAATATACTATGGAAAATTTTGCCAACGTATATGTTAAAAAACTCGAAAAAACTTACTTGTTGCTTTGCTGTGCATCCCCACTGCGGTTCGTATAATTCACGAGTGCGTTAAAGGACTGATTGAGCCACTGCCAAAAAATAACCCCCGAGGTGCTTTGATAGAAGGTCATCATACCCCCGCATATAAACATGTTCATAGGTACTTGTGCTGACATGCGACCTATGAGCGTCATTTTTTCTCCTGTGTCGGGGTGAAATGCGGAATCGTAGATCACTTTGGCCCTCCATAGATCTTTTTCTGTTACGTTTGACCCAATGGGAAGCCCGCATCTAAGAAATGTTGTTTATTTTACTAAAGTAATACTAAAATAATAAGTGCAAAAAATAAGTCTAATATGCATGTTTCAAAATGTGTTATCAATAAGGTCATATTTGTTATTAAATATTAAGTAATTTGAAATATTGTAAAAATGTTATGTTCATAAATTAGGTACCTATAATTTGAGACTAAACATTTAGCCTCATCTAATGTTTTGTTTGTACAAAAAATATTTAAAGGGTTGGTGGTTAAAAAGAAATGTTTAGCTCTTCCTGTGTAAGTTTCTTGGTCATATCTAGGTTCGTCTATGTTTATAGCTGCCTTAACACATTCCATTTTGTTTAATAATATTAATTCCTGATTCTACAAAATATGTCTTATTATTTAATGATTAAAATAGGTTCAATAACTCACCGCTATATCACAATTCAACTATGCGAAATTTAAAATTATAATTCCCTTTATATTCCGTTCATATCAACTTGTATAAAATGCTTGTTAAAAATTCTTGACGTTATCACTGTCAGTGAACAACTTTCCTAATGACTGATGAACTTTCGACGAATTTATTATCAGTAAATTATAAAAAAATGTTGGCCAACCATTTGATATCTTGCTTTATTTTCTAATCGATTGAGAATGCTGAGGAACCGAGAAGCGCGCCGACGCGTCATTTAATCGATATTTTTAAAATAAGTTTCCTGTGATTTTAGTTCGTTGTTTTGTTTGAAATTTGTAATATTAAGTAAGTTGGTATTGGCCAGTTATTTGTTTTATAAAATTGGCAGATGAAGCGTAATACTAATTAAGTATCCTTAATATATTGTTAAATATAGTTGCTACATGGGTGCACGTCATCAACGTTTTTTTTCATAATTTTGTAAAAAACGTTTAATAACATAAATTGTTGCAGTTCTTGGTAAACAATACGCATATGAATGATATTTTTTTAAAGCAATTTTAACGGCAGTAACTTTATAGTTTAAAATTGGTAATGCCAATAACTTTTTTACACCCCATTGATGTGCACCTATCACATATTTAGATATGTGGCACCTATGCATATTTGGCCGCGACTATATCAATCAGGTTTTTTGTTACAATTTTGTTTTTGCTAAAATGAAATATAAAAATTCCGGACGCCAACCAGCTAGCACAATCGGTCTTCAGGACGTCCTAAGAAAAGCCTTACCGGATGTTGGGATATCCCAAGGATATCCTCGGACGTCTTTGGTTCTCTGGACATCCCAAACACGACCAAGTGGACGGACGGACGTCCTGGATGTGTCCTTTGAACGTCCCACGAGTTATTTTTATTCTTGGGATATGTAGATCCTGAAAAAATCCTCAACAGACGCATATATCCAACTAATATTTCTTACATTTCGGTATATATAGTTATCAAGGGTGCTTAAGCAGCGATGAGAGGTAGGTATAGCAACTAAATGTCTTTATAACTTACTTAATTGGTTTTGTTTTTAGGATTTTTTGTAGCAATTATGTTTAATATTTTCCATTTTACACACCAGGTTCGTTTAAAAAAGTTTTATAAAAAATTAATAAATTAACTATTTTTTGACCTTGGCTCGTGGTCGTCTTACCCAAATTTGGACCTCAACGTTGTGTTTACTTACTTCTTTTATTAAATACATTGCTTTAAGATTCATACTTGGGAGAATTAGGTATACAAAAAATCAAATGCAGTGTTTAGTTTACCCCAATTTAATTTACTTAGTTTACAAACGGTTTACAAAAAGCAAGGGGTTGCTCTTAGGGAGATATCCTGATCCTCTAATTTCGCACAATTTTGCACACCCGACCATCCATTCCCACGGCATCCCAAAAAATTACTTAATAGACCCCCCCACTGACAAAATCCACTTTGTTTTTATGCTATCCTGATCCTCCAATTTTGCACAATTTTGCACACCCCTACTTCATTCTTCACGGTGTCCCAAAAATTTCTTCCTAGTCCCCCCACTGAAGAAATTCACTTTTTTTGTGTGCTATTCTGATCCTCTAATTTTGCACACCTCATTTCAAATTTTGCACACTCTACGGCATCCCGAATGCTGAAAAATGGCCATTTCATCGAAAACTCCCCATTTCTGTGGAATATTTAAATTTAACGTGAGTCATTTTATCATTTTTCACCAAATTTGACAAAAATTGAAAGCTGACCTTATTGGATTTTCTTAAAACTTTCAGGGTGTGAAGGCTAATGCTTAGGATGAACAAAAACCACAATAATTTTTTTTTTATTTAAACACCCTGAGGAATTAGGCAGGCCATGTTGACCGGTTTGCATAAAAAATTACCAAATCGGTGTCTAAGAAAAACCTTTATAACTAAGTTCTTTATTAATATTTTGTATCGCGTAATATTTTGTTTTAACCATAAAACAATGTGATTTTTAAATATATGCCTAAAATTATACAAATGTTTTTACAAATGCAGTTTTTTAGTGCTAAATTTAAGCTTCTTTTAACTGAAAATGTCAATTTTCTTCCATTGATATTATATAGTAGGCTATGAAAATTTGATTTGGGGTATATTTTTATTTAAAGTAGGTAATTATAAATATTGATTGAAATATAAAATGCAAAATTATAAAAAAGTATCCAAATTGCAGCAAATACCATCATAATTGCATAATGCATTTTTTCGTCCAGAGGGACTGAATGAAAATTCTTCAAAATTTAACAGGATGTTCACCTCAATATAAATTAAAAACTTCAATAAAATGTTTTTTGTGTATTTGCTTTGCTAGGAAGATACAACGGTTTAAAATACCATACATCGTATAGAATATGGAATTATTTTCATGGTCTTTTTTACCAAGATGGCTTTGATAAAAAAAATGCTATTTAAAGGTGTTTGAAAAAGAAATATAAAATAGTAAAAATTAAGCTACATAAACATTAAAGTATATTATGTATCAAGTTTGATAAACGCCATATTATACACGAATTTAATTTATGCACGAGCGAGCTTGCGAGCGAGTGCTTAAATTAATGAGTGTATAGAAAAGTTTATAAACGAGGTGCATACTATACTTTTTTTATGACAAATATTACTTATTATTATCTTAAAATGATTTAAATCAAAAATTTGTATAGAGCGCCAGATTATAAAGGTTATAAATCGAAATGTATTTCTTGAAAATTGACAGTGCTTCACAGTGAAAGTAAAGTAAATGTTTTATGAGCACTTTACAGTTGAGTCGGTGCCAGAATTTACCCAGATAGCACCATTCGTCCAATGGACGTCCGTTTAAGATCCATTTTAAGTACATTGGTCCACGGACTAAAAATGGATGTACTATGTACGTCCATATATTTACATCCTTTGTACGATTTTAATGGACGTCCATATAGTGTCCATTTTACGTCCATAATTATTATTACAGAAATGCAAGTTAAAACGTATTGTTGGCTGCATAACAACAGTTATGATCAATCTCACTGACATTCAAGCAAGCGCGTGCTATAAAGGACTTAACTGTGATTTCGCGAAAGAATCGAACGATCGATTTACAACACATCTTAGATTTTTTTTTAATTTTAATATTTTGTTTATACATCCAATTTAACACTAAATCTAAAATTTTTCTTTCATCTGACTTAAACTTTAGCTCCTAGAAACCATTTAATTTTGCCTTTCACAAAAAGGCCAAATTCCATTATTTTGGCATAAATTTTTTATTAAAATACTGAATGATTTTAATTTTTAATTTTTTACATACAGGTGGCGCTGCAATTTTTTTTTCTTCGAAAGTAGACGTTTTTTGAAGACAAAAAATTCTCTTAAGCAACAATGCTCAAAAAAACTAAATAGCGTACCAGATAATATAGATGTTCCTTTATAATTTGACATATAAAAATTTACTTGCAAATGATGTTGCCGCCCGTAAAGCCAACTTAAAGTTTGGTCTACCGCATTAAAAAAAATTGAATTACACTTTCAACTCTATCCTTATTTTTAAACTAAGGAACTCCAGGTGATGGCTTTTATTGGTAACTAAAACGCAACAAAAAAAAGTTTTATTTTTTTATATACAGGGGGCGCTGCAGCCTTTTTTTCAAAAATAGAAGTTTATAAAGACCATATAGTTACTTAAGCAACATTGCTTAAAAAACTAATGACATTATTTATAATGTATCAGATAATATAGATATTCTTTTATTGTTTGACATATAAAAATTTATTTGCAATAATTAATGCCTGTTGTAGGGACGATTAAAATTATAACTAGTGCACGTACTCGCATATTGTTATATAAACGCCTTTTTTCGCTTTTATTGTTGTATGCGGACAAAAGGTAACAAAACCAAAGAAATTTTAATTACAAATGGTAACAAGTATTTCAGTGACTCTATAGTAATAGTAATAGTAATAGTATATGACCATTTGTTTAAATATATTTTAGTATATTTCGAGAGGCAAAGCATTCTTTATTATCGTACTTTAAAATTAAACTAAAGTCAAGCCTATAGGCTGGGAATCAAGTTACCCCAACAGTTGACAGTTACTGTCAAACGGTAACCATAATAGCATTTAAAATTTTGCCGTTATTACAAAAGTTGAAATTAGAGAGGGAAAATTTCATGCTTTTAAAGGTACGCAAAGTTAATAAATTTTCTTTAAGTTAATCAAAATTCTAGGAACATGAAAGTTCCTTGGACATCATCGAGTCGACAAAAGGAAAATCTAAATAATTTAAAAGCAATTAAATATAGGTGCGACGAATTACTTTGCAGTAGGGTTTTTGAAAATGAAGATGATCTTCTAAACCACCTTAAATTTCAAAATCATAAATTTCCTGAAATTAGACACTATAGGTGATTTTGCTAGAATGGAATTTTTAAAACAAAAAGATGTTTTAACTGCAACTAGTTCAACAATATCTATATATGCCCAAATGAAGAAGATAAAAATACGTTTTTTCGAGTATATGCAAAAGGGTTCGGAAGGCGCAAAATTAAAAAATCACGTTTTAATGAAAAACAAAAAGATTTTGTTGGCAACCTTTTTGAAGAAGGTGAAAAAACTAAAATTAAATATACGCCTGCAGAATATATACCAACAGCTTTACAAAATTATGAAGTAAAAGGCAAATTTTAGTTTTCTTCAAACGAGTATACATATGCATCCTAATCAGATACGCGGCTTATTATCAAGATTATCGTCAGATAGAAGGTTAAGCAAAAATAGAAAAAGAAAATTAAAAAATTTGCCGGAAGAAATTGAAGAAATTAGCCCAGAAGCGGATGAAGTTTTTTTGAAGTTTTATCAGTTTTAAAGTAGTTCCTTTGCGGCCTAAGTAACTTTTAAGTTATAAATAACCCTGGTTAAAATCTCTAGACTGATTCTGAGAATCGCTCTAGAGATTTGAACCAGCCAGTAGGATATAAACCAGGGTTATTTATAACTAAAAAGTTAGCGAATATACCCCTTAGAGCCCAACAAGTTTAAAATTTAATGTAAAGGTAATAATTATTATTATTATAATAATTATTAGGATATATCTTTATTATTTAAAATATGCAAATCTTGCAGATAAATTGTTATATGTTAAATAAT